ATGTCAAAAGATGTGCCAGAAAGGATGTCAGAAGTTTTGCGGGATGCAATGTCAGACGATTTGGGAGTGCGAATGTCATAAATATGGCAGATAGAACGTGGAAAAAGATGTCAGAAGATGCACCAGGTATAGAACGCCAGAAGATTTGCAAGAGATTTGTTTGTATGTATATATATATATATGCCAGAAAGGATGTCAGAAGATGCACCACGTAGAATGTGAGAAGATATGCCAAATAGAACGCCAGCGTACATGCCAGCTAGGATGCCAGAAAGGAGTCTGAAGATTTTCTCCAGTTAGAACATCAGAAGTTATTCCAGGCAGAATGCCATTACAGGATGTCAGAAGATATGTGAGTTAGGACCAGAAGAGGTACCAAAGGATGTTGGAAGATATACTTGTTACCAGAAGGTATGCCAGAGAGAATGAACAAGATGTCAGAAGATATGCCAGTTCGACTGCTCAATGTCAAAAGATTTGCCAGAAACGGACGCTAACATGCCCAACACATTAAACGGAAAACAAACCCCAACTGCATGCCATACATTGCGAACAGAAACTATCAAATCCTATTGTTTATTGCTGCACACTTTCCACTCCAAAACGATGTGTGCACCATTCTGAACGCAAACTCATGCAAGCATGGAATGCACGTTCTGAACTAGGCATGCGACATGCGTGTTCAACTTTAAACCACCCTAGTCGTAATCAGTGTTCAGGCCTATTGTGCTACCTAGGCTGCAGGGAACACAAAGCATTGCAACATGTAAGGATACAGTTCTACGTTGCAAAGGACACATGTACACAGTGCGAGTGTGATTAGCGCCTATAGCCCGTCCAGCCTAGTTCAAGGCCACTGAACGTGCATCAACACAAACAGGTTGTGTTACCTAAGGCTAAATTGTTCGTTTGTATTTTCGGTTGCCACTATCCATTTAGAGTGTGGGATCCCCAGCGTGGTGTATTTCTGCAGAGTGTTTGAGTCGTTTTGGTGCTTCTACAAAGCGCACATGCTTTGTAAGAGTATTTCAGTTGTTTGTAAGATCGGCATACGGCTTTGTGCCACCCTCAAGAGCTGTTGCAGCAATGCTGCAACCCAATCCACAATCTAGAACATACATGGGCTTGCTCCTATTGTCCAGTGTCCATGAACTGCCCAGCTGGCGGGGTCCTTAGACACCGAAAGGCACCGAAAAACCCACAGAATCATGAAATTTCAGAGTGACTTATCCTTTGCATGTTAGTACCTGCAGCTGACGCATGGTCCTGAATCTGTTTCAGGTTCTGTTTATGTGTTGTGATTTGTTACTACCTTTGGCTGGGACTTTCCTTCTAATCAGTTTGGTCTTCATGTTTTTGGAGGGACCACACTTTGATTTGTTCTCGGTTTTACCAAACAGTTTCCTTCAAGAATAATGTAGACGATAGTTTTAAAGGCAGGTAGTGCCACTTATAGAAACAACTGTGATACAATATCTGGGAGGTTGCCGACTGATCGCCACAAGAGCTCGATTGGTTTCACGCGGATAAGGAATTGGCGGTGCCTTTGCCAGTTTCGATCACAAGCAGTTGGTGTCCAATGGAACCATGTTCTTCGATTCTTGCATGGCCCGGGAGAAGTCTGCAATGTACGTTGAGGGGGACGCCGCTCTGGGACACGTGATTTGTCAAGATTTCAATCCCCGTGCATCTTCGGTGATCTATGTGGTAGGTGGGCTTACCGTCAAAACAATCAATCCAGGGTTGACACGTCCAATTGTGTTTAGACGGGCATTAAGAACACAGTCGGTGCCCCGACACTTGCATCGTTGAGTTTTCAAGTGATTGGACAGGTAGCCTTCAAGTTCACAGCATGCAACTTCAGAATCGCCACACGGACGCCACTTGTTTGCGCTTAGCCATGCCCTATTCTTGTGTTTCCCTGCCTACACTATACCAAGCCGCTGGACGTGTCACTTTCCACCGGTGAGGTGAGTTTCCGAGTTCATGCAACCAAAAGCCTCCGCGTGAAGGAAGCGGTGGACTGCAGTGATACTCGGAAGCGGTGCTTGTTTGAGTCGTTTGCCAGCAGCTCAGCGCATCTCTTATGCCCACCTGGCACAGGCCTCGTGCGCGATGACATTGGCAACAAACAGTTTGTAGGTTGCTTGCCTTGTCCGCCTGGCAGCACACAATTAGTGCAGCGGGCCACTCGTGAATGTGCTCCATGCAGGAGCGAGTTTGAGTCCTGCAACCGTGACCGAGTGAAGATGAAACAAGGTCTCATGAGTGAAGAGGTGGAGAACGTCACAGCCAGCAACTTGCACGTTCATCATTGTCCAAATCCTCACGCTTGTCCTGGTGGCCAAGTTCCCCAAAATAGATTTGGCAAGCAAATGTGCAAAGTGGGGCATGTTGGTAATGGTTGTTTGATGTGCAATGCCTCTACACACGCAGCCTTTGATTCGGATGCTTTGTCGTGCACCAGATGCGCAACAAGCCAACTCAGACAGTTCACACAGTGTCTTTGCTTGGTTGGGGATCGAAAGGGGCTGACTCACCATGTTGAAAGATTTGTATGTACCGTCATTCTCACTGCACTACCCGGCTTCCCCTTCACAGTTGTTTTCGCAATATATGTGACGAGGTGTACTTTGAAACCACGTGTGAGGTTTGGCTACATGATCTTCAGAGACCTTGGCATCTTTTTGATTGCTTATCGAGGCGGCCTTAAAGCAGCGGAGCAAAAGGACCTCGTCTAATCAAAAGTGTTTTGAATGGTTTGCTTGCACTCGGTCGAGCACATGGCACCTGGAAAAGGTAGTGCGATGTTTGTTCCCAGCAACCAACAAGGATGCCAAGACCAGCAGCATTCTTCTCAATCAGCTCTTGGCCTTTGGCGCTGTTGCAAACATTGGGGTCGTGGCAGCGTTGAATACTGGTGTAGCACAAGCCGTGAGAGACCGCGTTGGGATGTCGATATCAGATCTCATGCAACCTACCTGCTTTCATTTTTTGGCAGTCTTGTATACCCGTTCGTTGGACATCGGTTCACTGCGGTTGTAGGGTTCCCACTGTTCTGTGGGGCTTTTGAAGACGCTTCGTTGGTGTGGCTGATTCTTGGGACAGCCATAGGTTAGATAGTGTTTTAAGATGTTTTGAGTACGCTGATGACAATGCAGCTCATTTCTCCTCCCGTCAGCCTGAGTGCATCAATAATATAGCATACAGGAGGGGCTTGCATTGCACATGTCCAGGAAGACGTGCTGAGATCGGTTTTCATCTCCAAGGGGCACATGTCAGGCAAGAAAGCCGCAACGAAGTAGCTGCCTGGAAGAATTTCGCCACAACACTCCTTTGATTCTACAGTTGTTGTCTCCTTTGACCTCCTTTGTCTCCTTCCGTTATCTTCATTTACTCCGCCCAATCTCATGTTGCTTGATTTTCTTTAAGGAACATCGCCCACATCAACAAATCATGGCACCCTTCATTGAGTTTATGTCATGTTCACATCGGTCATCTACGCATCATCGTGCCTTTGATTGAGTTGATATATGATATCTACCATGTTTATCCCGACTTTGTATAATAACATTGTTTGCAACTCCACCTGTTACAGATGCTGGTTCCTCCAAAAACAAGCTACATGTGCAAGTTTCCAAGTGGCTTCCTCAAATTGAGCCATCCTGTCATCCCTGTTTTCCCTTGTGGCTATCAGAAGGCTGCAATTGCAAATGGATGTTTGCTCGCCCATACCACTGAGCATAGCCGCTTGCAGGGTCCCTTTGATGCCATGAGGTGTGTGCCTCAAGGGCCATGAAATCATCCCGGATCTCGACAGTGCTGAACAGGATTGGAAAGTGTTGTTCTTTGCCCTGTTCATCATTTTGCAGGACTAGCATCACAGTCCCATGGTCCTGTGGGATCATTCTGGTCGCCAAGGGCTTTGTGGCAGGGGCCTTTCCACACACCCAAAGTTCTTCATGCCCTGTGCCTTTTCCTCTTCTGTCTTTCAAGCCCTGTTTGCCCTCCCAAAGCGTCTTTGATGCAAAGAACAGCTTACATTGGAAAGGGCTCCTAGGATTCCAGAAGTCTGTTCGGACAACTTGTTCCTTTTTTGAGCATTCATTGACCCAAATTTAATCCAAAATATGTTGACGATGTTAAAGGATATTAAAGGTATTCTTGCAGACACTTTAGCCATTTCGCAACCTATCAGAGTCCTCACTTGTCTTCCTCGGAAATTGCTGGCATTGTTTCATTGTTTGAGTGCTGCAGCGAACAAGACTGAGAGGTAGGGAGGCACTATATACCAGGTTTATAGATCGTAGTGTGCAAACCTTTGGATCATTTGGATCGACGCACGTGCAGACACATAGAGAGGGAGGGAGGGAGAGAGAGAAGGAGAGAGAGCGAGAGAAAGAGAGAGAGAGAGAGAATCGACAAATATAAATATATAGTAATATATATATATACACAATACATTATATTTACAGCCTTCAGCATGCCGCCGGCCACCAGCTCGAGCCCGCATTGGCAGGCAGCTTAATGATACAATACCCTGCTCAATCATACTTGTTGGTGCTTTGGCGGTGCACATTTGGCTGGGTGAGTTTGTTGATGTTTATTTCAAGGTTGTTTGACCATGAAATGGAACGAATCCGAATCAGAGGTTGTCTATTCTGATCCAGCGATCGACATGTCTCAGTCCAATGGTTGTCTATTCTGCTCCAGCGACCTCCTACCTACCCTACTACCTACTACGTACCACCTACCACCTACTACCTACTACCTACGATCTACTACCTACTACCTACTACCGACTACTGCTGCTACTACTGCTACTACTACCACCACCACTTACAGTCCAACCTACTACCTACTACGTACTACCTACTACCTACTACTACTGCTGCTACTACTGCTACTACTACCACCACCACTACCTACAGTGGGGGGGAGGAGGGGGGGGCGTCAGGCTGTCGAAAAATCCGCGCGGAGAGACAAACCGTAGATTGAAACCAACACAAGCAATACTAACCAAAACAATCCACAAAACACGCCGGCAGGCCGGCGGATAATGAGTTGGCAGCGCGCAGTTTTCTTCGACTATGTCAACATTTGTCAAACATGGGCAAGAAAGAACCTAACAATAATTAAAGACAAACATGCCGTAATAGACACTGTATGCTAGTCTCCCTGGTCCCTTCTTTATTAGAAACTTGTTCAGGTTTGCCTTTCCTTTTGGGGTGTGTCGGTTTCTGCAAACGGCCCGGGCCAAGAAGTCCAAAAGAGAGAATGGTTTGGCAAGATTTCGGTGCAAGACAAGTACATAGCAAAAAAATGTGGGGAGGATAAACAATGACAGACTCAGGCGGTGAGTGTGGGAGGAAGGGAAGAAAGGAGGGAGAGGGAACACAACATGATGATGTGAGGGATTTGTGGGCATTGGTTTATTATATCCAACTTGAATGAATCTGACTTCCACGATTAAAAGACTCATGGACGCATTTTTTGGAGTGGGGAAGGCTGATCAGCAGTGAGTGTAGACAGGCATGCCTTGGTCTTGGAGTCTCAGTGGAATCCGGGAGAGTCCTCTGGCAGTATGTCCACGCAATGCTTGCTGACATACATCGGGCTGCCACCGGAAATGTGGATCGCGCACGCGGCCAGGCTGCAATTTTGCAAGGTTCGATGCTTCTACACGTTTTCAATAAGAAGAGAGAGTCTATGAACGTTATCCAAGGGCAAATGAAATACATTGTGTATAATAGAGTATGGCCAAAGAAGTTCCTTTTGTTTTTCCAGAGAACCTTTTTCAGAGGATATCTATTTTGAGGATGTTTGAGGCTGACTCAAGTGTGTGTGTGTGTGTGTGTGCATGTGTGTGTCCTTTACAGGTTTCCGCAGCATTTGTTTGGAAGGTCTTTGCATCCATAGTCCCTTTCACATTAATTCTGGTCTTTGGACTTGCTCACGACCCTGCGTTGGCGCTGATCGCGGGCAGCAACTGCTTCTTGCTTGCAAAGTTCTTTGGTTGGTTGCCTGGTTCTTTGCTTGATACGAACCCTTGGAGCCTTGGAGCTTGTTGGTGTGCCAGAAAATTCTCAATCATACCTCTCGTCAGAATCGATTGTTTTTGATTGGCCAACTTGTTGACATGCCCCGACTTGCCAAGGTTTTCTGCCGGCTTTTTGCGCGAACTTCGCCAAGTATGCCACTCGTATAGTCCGCAAGTGGGCTTGGCCCTGCCGCCTCGCGAACAGCTCATTTGGGGAATCCTGCCAACCTTGCAGCCGACAGTGGGGAGATAAAGAAAGGAAATGGTGTGATAAGGAAGGTCCACTCCTTCACTTTGCAATTGAAACTCATTTATTAAGCTAGACCACATGCATCCACATGCGCCCACGATTGGACCCAGAAACCTCAAAACATTTGCAGTTTGGACCCTGGTGAAGGAATGAGATTGACTGTATCATTGCCGTATCCTTTGTTGCCTAGGCAGGTGTTCTTGCCCTCCACCCCAGAATATCCTAGTGATGCCAAGCGTTTGGAGAAGCTGAGCATGTGACCTACTTGTTTGAGAGATGTGTTCCCCCCTCCATTCATTCGTTTTGGGGCATGTTTCTGTTGCCGGCCAAGATGGAATTGACAATCACATCTTTTCTCATTGACACCGAGGGCTGTAGCAACAGAGTCCTTCGATCTGGTTGTTGGTCTTCAGAGTCCAGTTCTTCCGTTCCTTAACCTAATGGCCTCCAACCTAAGTGCCAACAAAGAAGGTTCTGCTGATACTGAGCGAGGAACAGAGACTGTCAGAAGGGAGTCGAATCACCGATGACCTGAGTCGAAGGATCTTTTGCCCAGGTCGTCTACTTCCGCACTGAGATCATCCAACCGCTTGGAGAGGATGGAAAAGAAGTGCTTGGCGACCCCAGGCGGAGCAGTTCCAGCTGGGGTGGGGAGTTGCAATGCACGCGTTTGGAAGAGAAGAGGATGACATGTATCACTGTATCATGCACCATGTAGGGTTGAAAATGGGCTATTGGTGTCCATCCGGTCAAGACCACGACACCAAATCTGAAGACCATGCCCATCCAAGGAAATGTTAGCTAATTTGAGTTTGCTGTTTTGTTTTCTTTTCCGCTGTAGTTGATTGAAGTGTGCACAGCTACTTTTTTGGCACAGCTCTCCAAGTCAGGTACGAGTTCTTACCGAAGTTCTTGCAGCCTTTGCCCATCTTCAGCCTGACGTTTCCTGGGCCAAAGCTCACAATGTCTAAGCTCTAACCTGCTCCAACCATGTGCCACTCCTGCTAGATCTCAGGGAAGCGGGGTTGGAAGAATCTGAGATGTCAGTGTTCAATGTGAGTCCCAACACGTTGTGTTTCCTGGATGTTTCCTTCAGTTGACATAGCTTCTGACTTGAACCAATCCCATCTACGATGAAATCGTTGAAAGAAAAGTCGTCAAGAATCCAAGAATGCGAGTTGGCCCATTGCGCCTGGTGGACTCAGTTGCCAAGGCTATTCTGCATTTTGGTTCTCCTTTGCTTCATTATCGCCGCCACCACTTGGACCAGAGCAGCCCGTTCGACCACCACGCCTGTACCCCCTCATGTGGCTCTTTTGACAAGGCCTTATGAGGACCACTGCAAGTGCATGGAAGTGGAGAAGCTTGTGCTGAAGAGTCACCTTTTTGTCTTTTAATATTTACTAAAAAGGATCCATCATGTATACATACATCAGTCAGTTTTATCTCCAGAAGGTGTGGCATCAAACATAGCACAATGTGTTCAATGCCCAAGACTCAAGACATTTGCACTCAAGACTCGAGACCCATGAGACCCATCACCTACCACGACTTAGGGATGCTGTCATGTGTCCCCATGTGAATGGTGAGTTATGTTCCTTCTTGAGTCACGTGTGATCAAGGAGATTGTTGCGAAAGATGATTTTGAAGACTCTTGCGGCAGCATTGCCAATTACAGCTTACCCAGTCTTGCAGCTCACATTCGTTGGCATCATCATGCTTTTCCCATTGTGCTTATACTCCCACCTCCTCCCGTACAAGACGATGGAGAAAGGTACACTGAATTGGCTCAATTTGACCGAGATTTTTCTGATTTCCGCGGGAATCATCATCATCAACCTTGCCAATTTGATTATTGCTAGCAATTCGCATTGGGCGACCACGACAGAAAGCCAGCTCCTGTTCTTCATGCTCATTTTGTCCTCAGCTGTGCTAATTGGATTGGCACTTGGCCTTCTCATCGCCGGATTCTTATTCGTAGAAATGTTCCTCGGAAATGGATGAATGATTGACCTTGGCTACCAATGATATCCGATAAGTTGTGCAAAAATACTTAACAATCTATTGAATATTTCAGGGGCTTACGCCCAACAGAGGGCCAGCAGGGGGCCCCAGGATGCAAACAGGTAAGAGTGGTGGTGGTTGTTGGGTTTGTTGGTGGTGTTGTGGTGGTTGTTGTAGTTGGTGTTGTAGTTGGTGTTGTGGCGGCGGCGGCGGTGGTGGTGGTGGTTGCTTTGACCAGAAACAGAAAATGCAATTAGTGCAAGGCAACTTGGGACGCATAACTGGCACCTTTGGGGTCATCTTCAGCCGTCTTGAAGGAAGGGGGGTGCCCACACGAACATGTCAAAAAGTGTGGTAGTCCGAGCGCGCCTTTGGACCTTCCAGTGGCCCGCACTAGGTTGGCGATCAGGGTGGCAAGCGCCCGGACCTGCTTATTTTTGTAAAATGATGACGTGTTTGTATTTCATGTTCGATTTTTTGCAGTTTAAAACATTAGAGTAATATGTTTTCAACATATAATTCGAAAGGGGTTGCATGATCCTGGTGGGAATAAACATTATATAATGGGGAGCTTGAGCCCCTGTGGGGCTGCCATTTTATATAAACACTATAGTTGTTATAGAATGGAAACCACTTGGACATGTATGAATGTGAAAATTGGACCTGGTTTTCCTAGCCTAACTGGGTCCTTTCATTTTATATATAACAAAATCTTCTGGCATTGCAGGGCAAACAACCAAGATTTGCCTGATGTGTTAGGTTTTCAGTTTATACAGATGGAGGATGATGCAGGGTTCTAAGCCTTCATTTTATAAAGAAAGAGTGGTAGAGTATGGTAGAGTTTGATTTTTTCATTTCTCAATTCGTTTTGATTCGAATTCCGTTGAATTGGTTCAATGGCATCAATCATCAACATGACTGTAGGGCAGCAAACCAGCAAGCTCAACATCTTGGATATTCCTGAACATTGCCACATCAGCAGTGTCTTTTCATTTTATAAAGCCCTAAAAACCTTGTTTTGTGAGGATCCACATGTGGAAATTGAGGGTTGGGGGGTGACAGTTTATATTGACAGAAGGTCTGTGGTTGTCATCAGGTATTCATTCTATAATCCGGGCGCCGGCCACGCGCACGTTCCCTTGCCGGAGGCCTTCGGTTGGTAACCGAAGGTTATATACGCTCACCGCCCCCGCCGCCGACCCTTTTGTTGGACCGCGGGGATACCTCCGCCCGACCTCAGGTTAAATCCGGTCGACAGATTTTATGTTATTTATATTTTATCTACCAGCATGATTGCGCATGATGTGGAAAACATCGTTTTTTACAGTGTTTCGTGGCCTTCGGCGGGCATGACTTGCGCCTAACAGGGCGCCGGTGGTGTCGGTTATGCGTGCCGCGCGGAGAGGCTTAATCGACACTTCGTGGGTGTTGGGCACATAAGTTGCCTAACATATCCCCAACATAGGCCCAAGATAGCCAACATATGCCCAACATAGCCTCCAAGATGGCTCAACGTAGGGCCAACATAGGCCAACATGGGGCCAACATACGCCAACATAGGCCCAACCTAGGCCAACATAGGCCAACATAGGCCTAACATAGGCCGACCTAGGCCCAACATGGGCTCAACTTGGGCCCAAGATGTGCCCAACATAGACCACATGGGCTCAACTGGCCCAACCTAGGGCCAAGATGCGCACCAGATAGCTTAACTTTGCTCAATATAGGCCCCACCAAGTCTCAAAGAGTGAGAGAGAGAGAGAGAGAGAGAGAGAGAGACAGAGAGAGAGAGACAGGACCCAGCCCTGCACATACCCAAACCCAAATAGGCCGGCGCCCGGCTGTCAGGCGTAAGCCTCATAAATCATGAAACCTTACCCAAAACAATTTTATGTCTTATAATGGGGTGTCCAACCCCTAGCTGGAATTCCTTGGGGGATGTTGCATGAAAGATATATTGTTTGTTGTTTGCTGTTGCGGAGAATTTGCTTCAAAAAGGCGAAAGAAAGAGAGAGAGAGAGAGAGAGAGAAGGGCTTCGGCGTTACGGATACGATTGTGGTTGGATTTATAACAAAGTCTTTTCTTTATATATATAGTTTTTATAGATAGATATTAGATATTATAGCATTTATTATAGCAATATATTGTTTGAATATGTGTTATGTATGGAATTGAAATATATATATATATTGAATTACATAAATGAATATTACGTATATTTATAGATGTTAATAATTGTGTAATTTTTCATATTGAAATAACTTAATTGTAAATCGACGAAATAATGTAATATTATGATATTTAAAAAAAATAAGAAATTAATAATATATTATATATATTATTTAATAAATATATAATTATTATAATTTTAATTCTGTATATTTAAAATAGATTGTAGATTTATTAAGTATCGAAATATAGATCGAATTATATTTTCGAAAATGCGATTTATTTAGAAAAAAAATAAAAATATTGATTATATTTTTTTTGATATATATGAATGAATTAATTTATAGATTAAAAATATATAATTGATTAATTTATTATCGAAAATAAATATATATATTTTGAAAAGTGATGGATATAATTATTAAAAATTGGAAATATTAGTATAAAAATTTTATTTAGAAATGGAATTTTATATAAATTATGAGGAGAAAATATGGTAATTCTAGATTTATACTAGATATTTGGTTAATAAATTAAGGAAATAGGGAAAAATATATGGGAGTTGATCGAAAATTCCGTATAAGGATTTTTATATATAGTAGCTTTTTAGATATTATTAGAACCATCCACGAAAGATTCGCGATGAGGCTCGCGAAAATATTTTTTTTATTTTTTTTTTTTTTTTTTTTTTCGCGAAAGATTTATCGAAGGTCATCGCGTCCATACGTTTTCTTTTCTAAGGGATTGATAAAGAATAGAAATAAAAGGTAATCTTCCGATAGAGTTGGTGGGCGGAAGTATCCCCATATATTAGAGACTAACGAATTGAAGCCTTAATATTTCCGTGCCTAGCCCTGGGAGTGCATAAAGGATTCTTCCCACTGTTATAGCCAAGCAACTTGAGAGTGAGTAGGCGCAGCTCTGACAATGAGGCAAAGACGGGCTGTGTAGATGTTTGCATACGGCTTCCCCGGGAAAGTGCTAATGAAATTTTGCGAAAGATCCGCGAAAATTTCGCGAATGTGCCACTAAAGTCTAGGTTCCCAGCTTGAGGCTCCTTACCATTCCCTAAGCTGCATCATTATGTATTGGTAGCTGGCACGAGGATTGGGTTGAATTGTGCCACAGATGCTGCAAGGGACCCTGAGTAGCTGTGGAAATATTCAATTGGTCATGCTGCAAGATGTCTGTCCCTATGACATGTTCCGGCTTATATTAGCTAGACATGGTTGTAGGTCCATGCTTCGCGATGAGGCCGCGAAAGATCCGCGAAAAATATCTTTTTTTCCGCGAAGAATGGCCATTCCAGGATGAAAGAATATTGATTAACCACCATAAAAATAAAGAATAAGAAGAAGAAAACAAAAATAATTACAAACAAAAATAATATATAAATATGTTTAATATGGGAATATCGTTGTCCGCACCGAGAATTGCATAATAACGATTTCTTCATTAAATAACCTTCTTAGGTCATTCGATTTAATATCTAGGCGTGTGGATATTGCTCTTCTATATAGGGCGTTGTCTATCCGTTTGTTAGCCAGAATATTGCAGGAGCGAAATTTTAAGCAAATCATTTGCAGGATATTGCCCATGTATTTGTTAGCTAGAGCACTGCGACAGCGAAATCTGGAGTGAGGCATATTTTGTGCGCGAGTGTTTTGCCTGAACCTTGCAGCAGAGTTGTGGGCGTGGGAGAACCAGGTTCGTGTTTCCAAAGGTAGAGCGGGCCGGGCGCGGCGCAAAGTAGGCAGAAGAGAGCACGGCAAATGAATTAAATTTTTCTTTGAACATCTGGGAACCCAAAAGCCTCCACCGGCCCACTTGCAGAATGCGAGCACAGATAGAAAAGAGTGTCGACGCAAAATAGGCAGGAGAAAGCACGGCAAATGGGTTAGCATTTTTCTTTGAAAATCTGGGAATCCAAAAGCCTCCACTGGCACACTTCCAGAATGCGAGTACAGCATTAGAAAAGAGCAGAAAAAATTTGTACGTGCGGAGCGCATAGAGGATAATTTCCTAGAAAAAACCCTCGAAAATACCTTAGAAAAAAGAGTGGAAAATCTGAGGAAACCATAGAATTTGTTAGAAAAACCCTGGAAAAAAACCCTCGAAAAAGGCATGAATAAATTTTACAAAAACCTTTAAATATCCTGGCAATCCAACGGAAAACGTTACAAAATCTACGAAAAGCCAAGGGCACTGGCAAGCACCAGGCCGCAACCAGGCCGGGATTCGAGTCCAGTACCATTTAGGGACCGTGCTTATTTTCCTCCGCGAGTGGAGAGGGTGCCCCAAGACGTAAATCAATTAGGATGGAGAAATGTTAGACATCAGGTCGGCCTTAATATCGCACTAGACGATGATTTATTTCTCGATTATTTATTCATTTAATATTAAAATCGGTTAAATTAATTTTTTTATCTGTCCAAGGATAATAATTAATAATAATTATAGATATCCAATCAATATCAACAGCATCAATAATTCCAGCAGTTCAAGAGGCCCTAAAAAGGTCCGCATTAAAAGACCAATGCCTGTAAGATCAGTGTTGCCGTCACGTGCCGTTTAATAGGACGTAACCTCTAGAAGTTGCTTGCAAATAACATTTTGGCCGAACGATTATCATAATATTGGCCATTAATATGTTTTTATATTAAATATTCCTATATTTAGAATTTAAAGAAATTTAAAAATGGACCCCCCATAGATTTACGATAAATAAATCATTTTGGAAATCAACCGTATATAAATTCATATATTTATATTGTTATTCGATTAGATCTATTAGAAATAATATAAATCAATAAAACAAAATTAAAGAAATTATATCATTTAAATATCAGAATTATTTATCTAAATATTTATTGATTATATATTTTATACCCTCTGCACCAGCTCTGGTGCAAAAGAGAGGTTTTTTTGAACAAAACCTGGTTTCTGACTTGTCGACCTATCTTTGCACATGGGCATATCAAAAACCGGGTTTTTGCATTATCTCATGATGTCCTGTTAAAAACCATCCCAGGATGGAAGCCATTTTGGCTGGTGGTATGATGTTTTCATATGAGAAGGCATGATCAAAGAATATCAAAGAGATGCCATAGCTCAAGGACACCCAGCTAAAGATAAAATACCTAAGCAACTCTTTTCATGATCCTTTCTATGGCCATCCCATCTATCGTTCATGCCGACTGCCCCGCCCACGAACGCTGATCTCGACTTTTCCGTGGAGATCCAGTTGTCTTGAGACAGCCGTGGGCCCAGCTCCAGCCTGCGCGCACGGAAGGAGTCAAGAACATTCAAGAACTAAAAAATCTGAGGACACACATGCATGACAAGAACTGGGAATTTGCTAGGAGCCTATTTTTCTATATATGCCTGCAGCTGCTTAGCTTCAATATCGATTCCCTTGGCCTTTCAACTTTGTGATGTCCAGCTCTACCAGGCCTAGTTGTGACCCTGAACTTGTCTACAGGACATGGAAGGCTACTGACTCCATCCGGATGGTGGCAATCCGCAGTGACCGTTTGTTTGAGTCACACAAAGGGGCCAAAGCAGAGCAGCCGCTCAAGATCTGCATTAAGGATGCTGTCCACAACATGTACGTCTTGATTCCTTTGTTGGAGAAGATGGCTTTAGATCCATCTCATCCTCTTCCCTACTTGAAGCCACTCGCACGTGAGACCCTTGTGCACATGTGTAATAAATTTGTTTTACCACAGGTCCTCCCGCAAACATCATTGACAGCTTTGGGGCTTTATCTATATACGCACACATGCAAATCCAAGTGAAAGCTCACAAGAGGATCATTCCATACCATGCGTTTTTACATATACCGGCATGTTTTCTGGCATTAAGTCGGGGTTATGATTATGTTTAAGCTTCACACACCATGTGCACCGCATGCACACATATGTGGAACGACCAATGCATGGTATGTCCATCTTCCCGTGAACTTAAGGATCAAGCTTTTCCGGACCAAGATGAACTTGATCCCGCAGAAAGACAAAGTCAAGCTGGACGCATGGACATGCAAGTCTCTGCTAAGCTTTGTAAAGATGAAGACTCGCAAGCATTTGGGGTCGAAGGTGTCTTGGCTATACCACCTGTACCTTCTTTTGCTGCTAGCATGCCTAAGTGCAAACTTACTTTTGCCCAATATGCATGGAATGGTTATAGCGTTGTGTATGTTGAGCTGGGCACCACCTGTTTGTCGTGTAGTTCACTGCTACCCCTGAGAACTTGGACTTCTTGAAGATGCAGCGCATCCTTGATCCGAACATCAAGGCCCAAGTAGGGCAATTGCATTTCATGCCTTGGAGTTATTTGTTGTTTCCTTTTGATACAAATTCATAGTGAAAAAGGCTTGTCATTTAGATTATATCGATGTGTACAAGCATTGGGTATACCTGGGGAGGTCTATGAAGAGACATGTAAAAATTTAAGGTACTAATGCACATGCATCCTCTTCGTCAGTTGTGTATATGGGCCGTGTTCACCAGCATTGCAGGCGGGCCTTGACTTAGACAATGACAACTCTGATGTTGAAGAAGCCGACCTCAACCTCAACTTGGATGAACCCAACCGGGTTTTTGATGAGGATGACCATGAGGTCGAGGAAGAAGATGATGCCTGGTTCGACCAAATGATCGCAAGCAGCCTTTCCACAGATGTTGTGGAGGATTCACAGCCGCTTGAGCCACCACCGCTTGGTGTCCAGGCAGCAATTGCTGAGACCCAGCTTGACCTACCTGACCTATTCAATGACTCGCAGGTACCAGATGCTTTCCCCAAGTCTCCGGCTGCAGATGTTCGTGGGCGTCCTGTAGCCCGGCCTCTTGCAGTTATCGACCTGGAGTCCCCAGTTGTGAAGGAGGAAGTCCATGCAAACCACTGCACCCCTGTGGCAGCAGTGGAATCAGCAGAAGTCAAGAGCAAAAGGGACTACGTTGCCTTTTTGAGGAAGCAACTCCAGGAGTTGGAGGTTGCACTTGGCAATGTGGAGCTTGGAGCTCATTTGTTCAAGAGCATTGCACAGGGCAATACTTCAAGCACCCAGAGAAAAAAGAAAGCCCAATGGGTCTCTGATAACACATTAAATATTTGTCAATAGCAGGAAAATGAAAAGGTTCCCAAGCAAGTTTGCTTTGAATGGGTGTGGATTGTGGTGGGCAAGGTTTGTTATATACTGCTTTTTAGGCTTCCCAAAAGGCAATACCAAATATAATCGTGTAGAGAGAAGCGTGCTATGCTGAGGTCTGTCGAGAAAAGGGTGGCCCAGGATTTGGCAGAGGCTAATGCACTCGCAGCAAGTGCAGGTCCGATGTTGGTTGATGACACCCTCCCCCTTGGCGGAGACAATGACTCCACTTTGCCCATGGATGTCTCCACGACCATGACTACTTCAGTTGCAGCCATGTTGAAGCGGGATGATGATTCCCGGCTGCTGGACGCAAATATCGAGGACAAGTCCACAGCAATGCCACCTAAGGACCGGGTTGATTGTGCGAATATGCTGCAATGTTTTCCCTCAATGGTGCGAATGTGTATATTTGGAACATGCTTTTAGCATGCCCATGTTTTTTAATAAACTTCAGTCGAGAACGTTCCAAAGTATTCCCTCTCAGTTCCTTCCATTGCAGGAGATGCCTGAGGTTTTGACCCGGCGGGTGCAGTTGGGCCTTGCAGCAGATCACAAAGAAGAAAGCAAGCAGGGCAAGGGAAGGGGCAAAGGAAGGGGCAGAGGAAGGGGCAAGAAAACAAAGACGGATGCTGTGGATCATGAAGAAGTGCCAGCAGCTCCTGCAGCTGAATCTTCATCGAAGCGTGGTCCACCAGCCACTCCGGAGCGCCGACGCCTCGACTTTGATGTGGCTGCATCGCCTGATCACCATGCATCGGACCTTGCTGAGAAGGGCACTCCGCCTGTTAGGCAGGAGAAGAAGCGTGTCAAGGCAACAGCCAAAGGGAAGGCCGCTGCCAAAAGTGCTAAGGCTGAGCAGCCTGCCAAACATGAACCAGACACAGGAAATGAGCCATCAACCAAGGAAACCAAAAAGCGTGCAAGGAAGGGCAAGAAAGCTGGCACAGAGCCGGCGCCAGAGCCAGCACCTTCCGGACAGCCAAAGCCTGTTGGAGAGGCTGTCCCTCATGCAGACCCTGCACCTCCTGAGGATGCTGTTGTGCGAGGAAAGAAGGGCCCTTCGGAACGTGCGATCAAGGGTGCTTTGAAGCATTTGGCCGAGGCCAAAGAGGATCCGGCTTCATGGCTCCATGTCATCAAGCTTTGGGATGTTATGGACAACATGGTGCACACGAAGGAGAACCCGAATTTACCCAAAATGCAGTACTGGTCATACAGCATGTATTGGCAATCCGGCCGCGTGGGGCTTCTCCAAAAGAGGGTGGGGGAAGGCAGTGTGCATGTGTGCAGCTTTGGTGGCGCAACTTGCACGAAGATTTCTCTTCCACTCAAAGCAGCCTTTATGTGGGTTGGCGCCTTAATTGGTGGAGTCATTGTTTCCCCCATGATTAGCGGTAGGGCACTTCTGTCTGATGTGAGACACTTTGCTAGCAATCAGTGTGACCTCATGCCATCTTGGTGCTCCAAGATCTTTAACTGGCTGTTTGCAGGCGAAAGGTTGCTGGATGTAGGGCTGTTCATGCAAATCTTTGTTGTCAAAAGCTGGGGTGTGCCCTGGCTTAGGTCGAGTTTCTGGGCGGGGACAAGCCGGCAAAGGAGCTCAAGGATGTAGAGGATGCTACGGTTTCTGCTTACAAAGAAGCATTGACCGATTTGGTGAAAGCAATCTCAATCGCAGATACGGCAGGCAAAAGCCTGAAGGACTTTTAGTGTGATTTGGCCCAGGGGTGATTTTGCAGGGAGCTTCACTGTTCCCGTGGGCACAGGGGAAAAGATGTTACCTGTTTCCAAGCTGTTGAGTTGGAACAACCTTTTCCAGTATATCAAATATTAAAATGATTAAATCTTAATACAAAAGGTGCCCAAGTTCTTACGAGATCACAACCTGCGGGCAGGGCTGCTTAGAAGTCAGGCCTCTTTAGCAAAGCTGGCACTGGGTTAACAATTGTCGTCCACATAGAGACTGCATGTGTTGCATTTCTCCTGTAGTTCGATCTTTTGAGAACAACATATATTTTGTTCATAAGACTTAAACAAAAAAATAAAAAAACAGAGTTTGTCGCAGTCAGCGCGGGCGATATTGTTGGGATTGGCTAGTGCTGTCACTTGCCAAGCTAAAGCTTTGGCCAGGGGTCATGTCTGGAAACCACCCAGCCCCTAATCCTGCAGTTGCTTGTGAAAAGGTGCTGGCAGTCCAAACCAGAAGATTATCCGCAAGTCCTACTCATATATATATTTAATTATGATATATATTTATATGCAGCTGCGTACATCAAGCACTTCTATATAATACGAGCGCAAGTCCATCTCCATATATGTACGCATGTATTTGGATCGCCCGTCGGATCTGCTCCAGCCTTCCCAAATTGAGGTCGACGATGCCAAAGCGGAAGGCCTGGGAGGCCCGTCTTCAGGATAGATGTGACCCACGTGAAGGTACAGCTGGCCATTTATGGGGTTTTGGAGCGAGAATCGACGCAAGTGGTTGCTTGTGAGGGCTGTGATATCAAACGATACCCTTTCCAATCAAAGTGCGTAGGCCTTTTGGACACATGCCTTGTGATCCCAAATCGGTCTCAAGATGTCCACGCTGAAGAAGCATATGTTTTTCTGATCAGGCTCAACTGCTCAAAGCTTTTGTTTACATCTCAGATTTTGAGCATCAAGCTTCCTCTGCAAATTTGTGAGGGGCTTTTGATCTCTCGGGCAGGGTGGCTTGCCATGGGTCACCTCACTGTTCGAGATCTAGTGTGGAGGCTTCACTTCACGAAAGCCCCCAAGGCCCAACTCTCAATACTTTGGAGCTTTTGAGCCACCACTATCTATTGAACCACCGACCACTCTTTTCCTGTCGAAAGCGCGGCTCAGGTGCTGACTTTGCTGGTCCTTCTCCTCCTTTGGAGCTCCAATGTGAGTACACTCACAGAGGCATGTGTTCAAAAGGCTGTGTATGGAATCTGGAATTGTGTTCTTTTGAGGATGGGCTTTACTAAACGATCTATACACCCTCGCAAGTGTAAAACGCACTCAACTCAAGGTCTGAACCCTGAAACCCCGCAGTCATATGACTTTGTGGAACTGTGGGCTGGGAAAGCCCTCACCTCGACATGCATCCGCATGTCTGGGCGCAACACTGCGGCGTTGGATATTGAATACTTCAAGGTTGATGAGTCCCGCCCCAACCAATCCAATTATTTTGATATCATGACGCCGTCAGGATTTCTGCACCCTGGACTATAGGGTGATGGTTGTTGTACTGGGTTGTAGCGCCAACTGTGCATAACAAATTCTGGATTTGACAACTGAACTGAGGCTGGCCATGTCCACGTTGCTCAACACCAAGCATGGAAAAGCCACAGTTCTCATGGCAGTTGTTTGTTCATCCTGGATTGTGATTAACATGGGCTCCTCTGGCCGACACATTTCCCATCCTCTTGGCCGTGATGACAGCTGCCCCAAGTACGTGGAAATGGCCAACAATATGGTTGCACGGTGTTTGGGGCATGTTGAGGAAAAGGTTTTTTTGCTATACCCACCAAACCTAATATGTATATCTGGTGGCCAAGTGTCCCTGCGAGCAGTCCCACCAGCCCTCCAGACCACTCCATCAATGTTGGGCCTGAGGATGTGTTTGCTGGTCTACCTGGCGGAAGCCATGAGCTGCACGTGGCTGGTGGAACAGCCGTCGAGCTCCCTGCTAAGATACCACCCAAGGGTGATGGACACCTTCAGCCTTTTCAGGGTCACTCGATCAGTACTACAGGACAAAGCTAACGAACACCTCTGCAAAAATTACCCCTCTTAAAGGTAATTCTCGGTGCCTTTTTCTAAAGGGTATACCAATGGTTTCATGAAATGGGAGGTACATGGGGAGTACATCACAGCTGAACTCTTTGTGCAGCTGACTCTCTTGGGGAAGGCTGAAACTTTAAAAGGGTTTTAAAGGTCCGGTGCTGTCCCTCTCTATACATGGTAAAGCAAGGCCCTCTACAAGATTTTGGTCATGCTGAGAACTGGGAACTTGTCTAGCACCACCCAGCTGCCCCCCATGATGCAGTTCACCAAAATGAGGCTTGGTCTACCCGATGGTGGATGGCTCACTATGGTGGCAAAACGCCAAAACGGCATATTGCGTGGAGCAACAGTTCGAAGGTTGGCCTGTTAAACCAAGGCCGGCTGTCAGGGTTCAATTACAAGTCCAAGGAGTACCAACATCACAAGACAGCGCAAACAACTACCAAGAATGGTAAGAAGAAGTTCCAGGGGCGGAAGACACAGTTGAAAGAAAGCCAGCACCTTTGTTGTTATTGTGTTTTTTTAGAATTCTTTGTTGACAAGTGAATGCTCACTTGACTGGTTTGGTATTTTAGTAGTGCTGCTCTACAGTCAACTGTTTGGTTTCAACGTCCTCCAATTGGGAAAACCTTTGTTTGTTCAATTCTCATTGATTGCAATCAAACGATAACAGATCTGCTTGAAAACCTTTTTGTCAACTGCATGCTTCGCACATCTAAGGCACTATCCCTACCGCTTTGGACTCCGCATGTTGAGGGTGCTCCGGGAGCTTCAATCCAGTGGATGCAAACCGATCCCTCCAGTACCAGAGGGGTTTGATCCCTTGGAGTGTTACAAGGGCATGCCTTTTGTAGACTGTTGGGATGACATAGACATGGTTGAAGTGTATAGATATATTCGAGGGAACAAATATCTCGAGATCCCACCCGAGTGGAAGGACCACCTTCTCACGGGCTAGTTCGACGATCTGCCCACACCTCCACAGCTTTCTTCAAAGCTGAATAGTAATTCGATGAGCCTGCACAAAGCGATTTTGTTTAGAATTTGGGGGGGTGGCCCAATAACCAGGTTTTCATATCCAAATAACCCGTAAAAAAATCCGTAGGCGTAAGGAACCCATAAAAATGCCGTATTTGACCCATAAAAAGCCGTAAGATCTTATGTAAAACTACGTAGTTTTGACCTCCTCCCCAAACCTGTGGTTTGATCTTTTTTGTTCGGTTCTGGGCCAACCCTACCATGCTTTGGAGTTCTGCAGCCAACAGATATTGCTTGTTGGGCAAGCTTTTGCCCGCAAGGAGTGCAATCCTGTAACAAATGCATACTGTTCATTCATGTGGGATATTTTCAGCGACTGACCAGTTTGGACTCGCTTCAACAAAAGCTGAAACGATGAGGTTCCTTGTCTATCTATATGCTCAAAAGAAGTGTGAAAAGCTTTTCCTGTGCACTAGTGTCCGGTTGTTTTTATGGCGGCCCCTGCATCATTGCAATCGAAGCAATGGAGTTGTGCATCATTGGCGGCTGGCAACAACCATCTCTTACAAGTTAAGAGTGAGGAATCCCGTCAAAGGCAGGCTGACCTGGAAGCCAGGAAGAAGGTGGGGGTTCCAAGCCTATATATAGTAGTAGTTCCCCTTAGAGCTTTTCCGCTTTGGGCAAGCAATTGAAATTTCATGGGTTCAGCCACCGCTTCGAAGGCCATTCAAGCGGAGATTGAGGCTATCCAACAGGAGGAGAGACAGCTAGAGCCTGTTCCAGAGGTCCCGGAAGTTCCTCGCCTTATATATATGTTCGATAGTGTATGCGTGCATTGGACACATGTCCATGCGCTTTTGACAAGCCGTACATATGTTTCCACCACTTGCCGTTTGCAAAAGACATGCGTGCTTTATATAAGCCCTTTAAACACTTGCCCCAGGTTACTGGAGATTTTGATGCATCTACCAGGGAAGCGGAGGCAGCCACTCGACTTCTCTAGTCCACAGCGTGTTTCCTATCAAAGACTCAATAATATGGTTATGGCGTCGGACACATCAGCTGAGAAGGTTTGAGTATAATAGGAATTGTTTGCGCGTGGTCTTTGGTATAGTTGTTGTGATTGCCAACCAGCAGTTGTATATATATTGAGCCCATCCGGCCCCAGGTGATGGACGAATTGCCTGCCTCTGCCAAGCGGATGCCACCAAATTCTACCAAGACAACGCCTGTGAAGAAGCTAGCGGTGGTCAAGAAGCGTCGGGAGGGAGAGGTGCCCGGGGTTCGCAAGGGGTGTCTCCTACATGCAGGTTGGACCACCCAAAACATGTGGACATTGGAGTCTTGTGTGATTCAACTCTTTTCTGTTTTTTCTTGGTGCATCTGAGTCGTCGTGGGTTTGGTCCTATATGTGCATGGAGAGTTGTTAGGCTTCAGCTGACCGATCTGTTCACCCGACTGCAGCCAAGTCCAAAGCAGTGCCAAAGGACATGTGCGGGCTTTAGCCAACCACCAAATCAAATACGCGTAAATGAGGTCAATCATGCAGAGTATAAAACAATATATATTATATTTCTAGAAGCTGTAAACACATTCTTGGAATGGGTTGTGTGGGTGCTGTTTCACTGTTTTTTACCCATATATACCCTGGAACATTTGTTCAAGTGGAATTGGCAGCATGTTGGTTTTCAGCCCGTTCTTTTGGGACATCTCGTTCATGCATTGTGACACTATCCAGCAGGAACTGTCGGAGAATGAGCGGCTTCAAAGCCAACTCAATGAAGCTTTGGCCTTGATCCAGCAGCTTCAATCTGGATCCTCTACCACACCATCACCGCTCAGCAAGGGTACACCTTCGCCTTCTGGAACACCATCCCCAATTGTTTCTTGAACACCTACTTATATAGAGCGATGTGCATAGATATATTATATAAGTGTCTTAAATTGATGTCGTAACAACTCTCAACTCGACCCAGGCTCCGTCCTCGAGCGCCAAGGGCTCCTCTGATGCTGCCGATGATCAATCTCATGATCACGCTGAAGCCCTGCGTAGGTATGCAATGGTGGATGCCCGACTACGTCGGCTTTGCGAGAAGAAACCAAGTGGCAAACTCAATGTGCCACAGGACATCCACAACATGTGGTTGGCCGGGGGGCATTCTCGGGACAATCTCCGAGCTCTCTTGGAGAAGTTTGAGTTCGACAAGGATGGATGGGAGTGTTTATAATGTGGCAAGTCAAATAGCAAAAAAACATTCAATGTTCCCAGTCTTTAGCAGGACCATTTGGTATGGAATCATTGTTTTTAAACTTGGCGAGGGGAAGTTCATCAGTGAAGTCACGGTCATGATCGAAAAGCGCCGAGAAAATTCTGAGAAGGTGAAGTCCGGCTGGTTTACACCCGATCAAATGCGCACTGAACTGAAGTGGGTGTCGACCCTTGGTTTTCTGTTTAAAGCACGCTTATATATAGGCTTATAATTCATATTCCTTTTGTGCTGGCCTTTTGGCCAGCAAAACCTTTGTAGATATTCACTGACCTGAAGCAACACAGCTGTCATAGATGGTATATATAAGGCCACTGCTTGCATATTGAACATATATAATCAGGCCTTCTGTTTCGCCCATCAAGCTCAGGAGCTACATCAAGGACGCGGTGGCCTATTGTAAAAAGCATGGCTTGGTGAAGAGCCTTGGTTGGTACATATTGGTGTGCACAAAACTTGCGTTGGATCGAAACACGCTCTGCATGGGATAGCAAAAAGTACACACATATCTGTGCTATATACAGGCTTTCATGACATGCCTTTCCAATAAGGAACGACAAGTACAGCAACAAGGTCTACAAATACTTTGTTGAGTATTCCGACACGGCGACTCTCAAGAAGTCATACATCGAGACTGAGAAGCAAAGCAGCACCCGTGAGGCATGGTATGATTTCCATGCATGTTTAAGTGAATATCTCTGGGTTATAGGAGACGTTTTGTTTTAGATAGGATTCTATGAACGCAGCCCTGCTAGGGGGAGGAAGTCAAGCTTGGAGGTGGCTTTCTTGAGCGGCCCGAAGAACCAGAGACCGCCCCTGATGAGTCTGAACGACACCAAGCCCTATCAGCGCAGGAAGAGGACCTAACTATGATTTTGCTCATGTATTTTGTTGTGCAACCCAAGTTCCACCACCAAGCAAAACATTTGTTAGTGCCAACGCCTGGTTGGTTCTGCCATGTAAGTGTAAATCAGGAGCTGCTGGTGGAGCAGAAATTTGAGGATGGTATGTTGGCAAAGATGAGCAAAATCACTGATTTGATTGCCCGACTTGAGGGGCTGTCAAAGAGCTCTCCAGAGGACTCAGCCCGCTGCACTAAGTGCACTGCTCAATTTTTTGTTCGGAGTTCATCTTCAACCTGCCTTGCAATATTTAGATTTTGCCTTCCCACATGAATTCACCTAAACCCATTGCCGCCCCAGGCTGGTGCAGGCCTTGGAGGCAAAGATTCAGGCTGCGCAAGCTGCCTTCGATACCTTCGTTGAGTGCCGATCGCAAGCAGGGGAAGCTACCAGAACCCCTGAGAACCTAGCATGCATGGCATGTGTTCACATGTTTCGAAATCCTTCGACAGTGAACCAACCGATCTTCACTATTGGACTCTTACAGTTGTTGCTGCTTGAAATCAACAAGCCCAGAAGACTTTTGGGGCTCAATTAATTTCCAAGGACTTCCAAAGAAGTCAAAGATAAGATGAAACGCGCAATGGGCATGAATCTCGTTTGCAGGTCATTGCAATGGACAATATTGCATGTGCTTGTGGTGTTTGTTTCTTTGATTCTCATCGCCCTGACATCCTCACCTCCTGGTTCCCCTGGGCTGAGGGCATCCGCGCTGGCTTCTGTCGAAGCTCAAGGGAAGACCTCTGCCTGCATCCAGCGCTGCACAGATTGGTTGTATGGGTCCTCAAAGAGGGGGTTGTTCATGTTTAAGTTGTTACATCTAAGGGCTTTGGAGAAAACCATCAAGAAGAAATTGAAGGAGAAGGAGAGTGAGACACAGGAAGACTGATGATCCACTGAGATCACTGGAGTTTTGTTTCAATGGCAGTTGTCGAAGGCATGTGTCTCTTGAACACATGCAGATCTTAACGATATTGATGCCTTTTGGTTCACAAAAGGGGTTAAAGTGGACCTGGCTGAACAAGTCGTGATGAGTGAAAGGGAAGGGTGGACAAAAGAGTTGAGCTGCTTTCAATGCTTGTGCACATGAACCACTCGCCGTGGCGGTGCCCGGCCTTTCCCATCTACCACGCAGCTTCTGCCATGACAGGTCCAGAACCTGAGCTTCATGGCTTCGCCCGCATGGTGGGCAACGGTGTTGGGTTGCCTGGATTGGGCTGGATCTCTACAGCCCTGTGGACCTATTGCCCTGTTAACATACATGTATGATATTAATTCCATAACTTTGAATACATGCAGGTTTGACCATCATATGGGCCCTTTATGAAATATATATGCGTTGAAGACTGGTTTTGCACCGGGTCTACGCCCCACCACTGGTTTAGCGGTGCAAGATTACATCAAGGCCCCAGTTCAAGCATTGGAGCCAACCCGACAATTCCATGGACGGGACACGACAGGACCATGGTGAAGAACCAATTTCATTACGTCAATTGATGTGCACACCTGTTGTGTTTGTAGTTTTTGTATTCTGCATGAGGGTTTCGTTCTGGAAAGCTACCCTTCTTGGAGACAATGGCAAAATCCGGGAACTCCTCTTGAAAGGTGTAAGAGCCCTATGACCCATCATTGAATGCAACTGCAACTGCGCCATCCCTCTACGCCTGGTTGGTAGGACCTACGCAATGGTGTATATATATATATCACTCATGCATGTACAATCAAAAGTGCAATGGATGTCTTGATGTGCTACGTTGCTTTGTCTTCGAACTGGCCTTCATGGAAATCTACGCAGAAAGGAACAGCTATCCTTAAAGGTATATATACACATACGCATGAGCTAAACTATTACAGTTGTTTCTCCTTTAGGTACAAGTGGTGTGGTCTTTTGGCTGAGTTTTCACCTGTCCGTTCAGACATGCTGAGGTCTCTTGCCGGGATGCTATACGCCAAGCACGAGTGACCCGCAATCCCTCTAAGGGACTGCAAAGGCTTGCAGCAGTGCCACTGAAGAAATCTGAGACTGGTGCACATCAAACTTTTAAAGCTTTTGGCCAGTCGCTGGATCTCAAGATTTCAAGAGTTGATTTGGTGAGCAAGAGCCGGTTTCCATACGTGTCTTTGTCAGACTGGTTGAAGTATGTGGTGGAGAATGACTCCTTAGAGCAAATTGTTGGGGTCAAGGATCTTCAAGACATGCAGCCGCTTTTGACTACGTTTTGGTCCCGCTTCCGCTTCAGTCACCCGCATCACAAGATGTATGATCCACTGGAGTCAGGTGCGCCGCAGCACCACAGCATGACGATCCCCATCGTCATGCATGGAGACGAGGGGCGTGGCAGGAAGAAAAAACAAATTACGATACTCTCGTGGATGGGCTTGCTGGGAAGAGGGTCCAGTCGGTGCAGTGGGAGTGGCAGCTCAGGGGATCCAGAGCCTGTCTGTTCCTTGAATTTGCTAGGCAGCACATGGCTTACCCATTTCCTCCATAGCGTGCTTCCAGTCGGTCTATATAGCAATCAACCAGAGGCTTTGGATGAAGTCTTTGCATTGCAGGCGCGGGAGCTGGCCACCCTTTTTTATGATGGAGTGGAGATTGGAGGTCGGGTCTTTTACGTTGCTTGCGTAGGCGTCAAAGGCGATGTCCCATTCCTGACGAAGTGTGGTGGATTCATTCGAAGCTACACGAGAAAGCCAACAGCCAAATCCAGTCGCAAGGCAGGCGTTGGAATCTGCCACCTTTGCTGCGCAGGAAAGGAGGACTTCGAGTACCCAGTGCCATTCGAAGAGCTGGGTGTGGAGCATCCAAGCTGGCTTAGCACAGTTGGACTTGAAAAGCCCTACAGTTCAGACCCTCCATATGCCCTGGTTCCTTTCGAGCGTGATGGGACGGATGTGGGGAAGCTGTACCGCTTTGACATTTTCCACAACCTTCATCTTGGCCTTGGCAAAAGCTTTGTCTCCTCAGCTGTTTGCATGGTCCTAGAGCTTTGTCAGGGTATGTCCATAGGCGCAGCTTTTGGCAAGCTTTCGGAAGACTTCCGAAGGTACTGCGTGCGGAACAGTGAGTCCCCATATCACAAGACCCTGAAAGCTTCATTGTTCGGAGTACATACTGGCTTTAAGGAGTGCCCTGATGGTGCCTGGAGCAAAGGTGACTACACAAGGCTGCTCCTTGAGTGGTTTGGCGACTACTGCTCTCGCGAAGTGGGTGGACGAACTGATGATCCGGTTTACTTGCTATGTGTTTCCAACCGGCATTCTGTGTATTTGTTCTTTGGTTTGTAAGACTTGTTAACTGACCATAGAAAAGCTCTACAATTTCAATCTTAATGCTCTTCAGTGCAATCCTGAGGCTGAAGCCACTGATGCGATCAATGAGTGTATGTCTGGCTTGCATCATGGGAATCTTTTCATCAAGTCTAATCGGGCAGTCTACCTTGGGAGGAAAGGCCTCCAGTTTTTATTGAATTACTCAAAGCTGGCCCAGCTGACTTTCCAAAGAAAACAAAGGAGATTCCCTCTGGTCCCGAAAACGCATTACTTACATCATCAATTTCTAGATTTGGTTCGCCAGGGGGGAAAGGGGCCCATGGACACTGAATGTCTTAGCTTTTGCAAACCAAATGAGCGAAGATTTCGTGGGACGCCCGTCGCGACTTGCGCGTCGGGTGTCCCCCATGACTTCATCGCTCCGTGTAATTCAAAGAGCATTTCTTGCCGTTCGGAACGCGCTTTGCAATGAAGATGGTTCTTGCAAGAGTGGAAAGCTGTGTCCACTTTGCCTGGTTTTGGGGCCATGTGACACACACAGATATGCATAGTCATGTATCTTGGCATGTTTGAATATATATAGCTCCAGGTTCTCTCAGAATCTCAGGCCACGGCTTTCCCAAATAGTGGCATACGGTGGGGAGCCAAGAGGCCGCAGCGAAAAAAATTAGAGTTTGAGGATGGGATTGGTTATGATTTGCTTAGAAGGCATTCAAAACCACTACTAGCCAATATTACTAATTTCATCTAATTTCCAGGATTCACAAAACCGGGTTTTCATCAACATAACCTATAAAAAGAAGGTTACTAGAAAAAAACCTTCCTTTTTCATGGTCGCTTGGGCTAATGGTATATAATATTTAATAATATTTTATATATTAATTAATTTATTTTAGATCCTTATTTATATCATTAATTTATTACATTTAAAGAAATTCTTATATACGTAAAACGTCCCTTAAATTAAATATTCCCGATAATCTATATATTATCTTTATTAATTATTCATTCCTAAAATCACCATGTATGGTTTATATATATATATATAAAGGTGTTTTATATTTAGTATTAAATATTAATTTATATTTCAAAAATCGCAACGATAAATCGCATCACCGTAAGACTCAATAACCCTTTCTAATTCCTTAATTTAACATAATGTGGAAATTCATATGCCCTATCCAAATTATTCCAAAAAAATAGATTAATCGACCTAATAAATTCAATTAGCTTAGAATTACCAAATAAATCCAATATCTAAAAATATTTCGAAATAAAGAAGATTAATATCAATATCAAAATCTCGTAATTCCGACCTTCAAAACCGTAACCATAACCCGGACGACATAAACCAAATCTTAACCGCTTCACCCAACCAAGGCTTTAAAAATATATATATTTAATAGTTTCCGAATTGTCTCAAATTTATTAAAATAAAATAAATAGATTTATGTGTTCATAATATAGAAAATCTATCAATTAAAATGAAATAAAAAAAATATTTCGATTCATATTTAATTATTGAATTATTCTTTTACCTCCATATTAAAATTATTCAAGCATATTTAAATTATTTAGAAGTCTATTTTACAAATTTCAAAAAAGATTAATAAAATCTATAATTTATATATATATATTTAGTTGCTAAAAAATATATCCGCAGATGTGAATATGGGGTGGAGACATATTGCTCTTGATTCTGGACATTTTGGTTCGACTATCTCCAAGCCGTCAGCCTCGCTCCGCCTTCCGCCTTCCTGCCCCGCAGAAACTCTTTTCCACCAGCGCTCACAGCCACGGGCGCTCACAGCGCTCAACCATCAGCTGTCTCAGCACCTCCTTGGAGCAGTTCCTCATCCTTAGCGTTGAACTCTGGCTGGGCGTCCTCCTCGGAGTCCGACTCTGGAGCGTCCGCCTCCTGAAAAAGCGGGACCGAACGCTGTGGTCGGTTTTTCAAGAAAATCTGGAGACTTGCAGAAGGGATGTCCAAAAGCTTCCGCCAAAAAACCACCCGAACAAATGGAGAAATTGACCTGCTCCTTGGTTCCAACACACCCACGTTCTAAAATCAGAAAATAAACACCCAGACCACTTCATTCTCGTTTGAATCGCAATCATGTTCTTCACAGTTACAAATAATCACAAGCTTGCCCCCCACAGCCTCCGCCAAGGAAGAGCACCTGAGCTGAAGAAATTTCGCAGTGACTGGGCAGAGCTGGAAGATGGCCACACGGGCTGCGAGCCCCGGTGCGTCGAAAGAAGGGAAGAGGAGCAATGAATCAAATCACATATTGATCATCTTGTCCCCGCCAGTGGGTGTTTTCCTGCAGTTCCTGCTGGGCGTTTCTTCACCAAATCCATGCGACTTAAGACTCGGTGGGATCAAAAAATCAAATCCTCCTTCACTCCCAGCCGCACGAGTGACATCTTCATGGCAAGACCTGATGGCACCTCGACATCGCAATCATACTCCCTAGGCTTCCAAAACAGTGTAAAATCCTCAATACTATTGAATTATGGTTGTTGGAATCCTACATCCCTAGATCCCCTCAACCATCCCCGGTGGCCAAGGGGCGGTTGTTCAAGGTCCAATACTCCTCCCTGAACTTCACCACCGAAACTTGCAAATCTGCCGGGCTCAGCTTTCCCTCGAGCAATTCTTTCACCACATCTAGCAGCCGACGGCCCTGTCCCGAGGGATTTGGGGCGCGCCGTGATGGTTGGTCAGTGCTCCCAACAAACCTTTCTTAACTTGGCGTGGGCTGGGTCAACCAACCACCCACCTACCTATTGTGCTACAGCCAGGTGCCACTTCTAGATCATCGGGTTGGATGGATGTTCATGGGCCTCTGTAGTTGGTCATCTGGACTCTCTTTGCTTCCAACGGCCATGGTCACCTTCTGACACTACAAATGTCCACTGTTGCATCGCTTCTCATGGTCGTTTCTCCACTTGCCCCAACTGCTGAGCCTTCATCTTGCCGTGCAGAAATCGCGCAGACACCGAGTTCTGCGTGAAGCGGATCTGCGCCACAGGCATCTCCGAGGCCTCCGGCACCTCTGCGCTGAAAAAAAGGCGAACGAAGACGGGCCCCTTCAGGTAGAACGGCGCCCGGGATTCGGGTACCCCCTTAGATGTGCGTGCACTTCTGTGTCGGAATTGTCGTGGCGAAGCTAGTATGTGGAGGAATGTGTTTCGGCTCCGATCCAAAAAGTCTGAACTTGAAACTTGGATCAAGCTGCGATCGACTGTGCCTTACTTCCGTGCAGGAACTCCTTTCCGCCGTTCTCGTGGTAGATCTCGTTCAAGAGCCTTGAGAGGAAGGCCATCTACCAGCCAAGAGCTTGGCCTTGCTGAAATACCAGAACTGAACTTTAGCTCCGAACGCATCTTTCCGAACTAAAGCCGGTCCACGTGACTTCTCCGGGCGCTTGAAGAATCAAATTCAGAACCAGATTCAGCGGCCACCCAACCCTCCGCCCCTTGCCTGGCCAAGACCGGCAATGGCGGGAAGTGCACCGGCGCGCCAGCCGCCCCGGCCGCAGCGGCAGTCCGCGGCGGCGGAACAGCTTCCGATGCGTCGGCATCCTGCTCCTCCATCTGCTCCCGCAGCAGGGGCAGCGAAGGGAGCGCCGATGTGGAGGCTGCCGTGTCCTCCACAGTGGTGAAGGTGAATGGGGATTTAGATGTCCTGATTAGCATAACGAACTTGAATAGAAGACTCTTTGCTGTAAGAAAGGGAGTGGACAGGATCAACGAGCTACCACCCACTTAAGAAGGATGGTAGTTTGCCAAAATTCTACCACGCGATAGCCAGCCAATCTCACGGCGAGTTAAAGCAAATCACCAATCAGGAGCCTACGTTTACTATGTTCCCACAAAGTCGACCTGTGTGGCGTAGCAACTCAAAGTGCCCTAGACATCCAAGTCCGAAAACAAGGCTCAATAACATATTTAACAAATACCTTTCTTGGGCCGTCCTCAACGTGGCTTGCCGCGAAGGGCCAAGAAGAGAGAGAAACCAAGCTGTCATTGCATAACCCGAGTTGAGGGGATGGGCCCCAAACCAAACCATTCGATGGCCCAGCTACCCCCATAGATCCTGCATTTCCCGCTTCACCTTCATTACCTTCATGCGAGGCTCGTCGCCGCCCTCCAACGGCCTCTTGCCTGGCAGAAGAGAACGGCTTGGCGCAAAACCAGGAATCCACAAAAACCCGGACGAGCCAAGACCTCTCCATTCAATAGTGGAGGCTGCAAGCAATAAAAAATCATTACATGTGTACATCTCTACTGTTTAGAGTACATCCCAGACTGCGCTCTGTGTACTCTCTCTCCTTTTTCACTAGCACTCTCTGCAGTTGTGGTCTCTGCACGTCGCCCTGACGTTGTTGCGTTGGAAACTCACAAAGTGTGAGCAGTGTTCATAGCCACACATCCATTCCTGGATGAAGCTTAGATACCCATCTATGGAGACCCGTCCACCAAGACGTATCCATAGCGATGTATCTACCCAACCAGGGAACCCCCCTGGAATGAACACCAGACCTGACAACAGGTCGCCCTTAAAAGATACTCCCAAGGCGGGGGAACCAACGTGGACCCGGCCATAGGGGTGGGCTGGGTGGGACAGAAACTCCACTGTCCCACTTTTGGCTTGAGCCAAAATGGACAGTGTACCAAATGTAATGAATACTGTGCACCCAAACCTGCCCAAAGCTCGACACAGTTTTACATTACATGTGTACATCTCTACTGTTTAGAGTACATCCCAGACTGCGCTCTGTGTACTCTCTCTCCTTTTTCACTAGCACTCTCTGCAGTTGTGGTCTCTGCACGTCGCCCTGACGTTGTTGCGTTGGAAACTCACAAAGTGTGAGCAGTGTTCATAGCCACACATCCATTCCTGGATGAAGCTTAGATACCCATCTATGGAGACCCGTCCACCAAGACGTATCCATAGCGATGTATCTACCCAATGCATTTCTCCCAACGCACTTTAAAGAAAGAGACCGGCTCGCAGAGTGACGGAAAAAGGAAAATACCAGAGTGGCTCGAAATAGGTGGCCACTCGACTAGTGAAACCCTGGTCGTGGTGCCATCTATCCGCGTGTCCTTGACGGGAAATCGCGTCACTCCAATTACTCTTGGAGGGGATCCACTCAAAGTAAATCCAGCAGCGAAGTGAGAACAAAAGAATATGGATCATGTGACTCATATGTTCGAGGTCAGGACTATCTGATCTGCCTTTGATGAGCGCCATCAAAGCAGCAGTGTTGTCAATGTACCATGTGCCGCGGCGATTGCGGAATCGCTCAGGTGTGGTAGTCAACGCAATGAGAACTTGCAATAACTCTAGCTGCGCTATTTTGGCATCCCCTGGCGTCCAAAGGTCATAGATGGATGAGGGGAGGTGAGACACAAACCCAAGCCGGATCTCCACGGCCTCGTGGAAGAAGACAAGGAGAAAACCACCCGTGCCTTCACCTGGGGTCTCCAAGGCAGCGTCGGACGCTGCGACAAAGCGCTCATGGTGTCGTGGCCAGACATCAGATGGAGATCACAGCCTCAAGAATTTGGAAGCATTGTCCAATTGCAGGAGTCAGTTGATCGCCTCGGACAAGTTGGCGCTCCTTAATGGCATGGAGGCCCCCACATCCAATTCGTCCGTAGACACCTGATCGAAGAAATTGGCCAATCCGTACAGCTTGGCAGCAACACCCGGATTCCAGGCGTTCCCTCGCCCAAAACGAGACGTAGCCTCCTGAAAGGGCGGCTGAAAGATCATGGTCTAGGCCTAGAAATAGACCTTTATGATTCATAGCCTGGCGCTTCTCTTCCGTAAAGGGGGTGCCCAGGAGCTGGTTTAAGACACCAAAAGCCCATTGAGCCGACCCCCGTTTGAAGACCAGTCTTGGATTGAAGCATCATCGAAGTAGAGCGATACCAGGACGCAGGCGTCCGAGGGCTTCCACAAGTCGACTGTATCGGTTGAATGAGGTCACTGCGCGAGGAAGACCAAAAAGAAGACCAGCGTAGACTTGAAAAGCTGGGGCAGCCCATTCATGATGCCAGAAGGTAACCACGCATCCCCCCGTTTCGGTGACCCCCATGGGACTGTGCCGATAGGCATCCGGCCAATCTTCCCCACCTGATTCCCAGGTGTCAGTGGCTGCAGCCTGGGCTAGCTCTGGTGGGCTCATGTGACGTAGAACTTGGCTGATGTGTTGAGCCGGCCGGAGGGGCGAGCAGAGCACCAGCTTGTTGGCATCGGATGACCGCAGGGTCTGCCCTCCTGCATCGGCATTGTCGATGATGCGCTGCTTACCCGAAGATTGGGTAATCACACAGCGTGGAATTAGGCGGTACGGCTGCCCATGCAACTGCTGACGCAACTGTGAAAGCGTCAATGGAGGTGTACAAAACCCCCGGGCGGCGTCCTTCGTAGATTGCTCGAGAAGAAACTGATCATCTTTGCCCGGCTTGAGGGTAGACAAGATCTGGTAATTATGCTCGTCGCAGCCCAACAGTACATCCGCAAGAGTGATGCGGTCAGCAGGTTGAGATGGAAAGACTCCGTAACACGGCACGTGGCCTACCGCTGGGAGGCCGTCAATCAGCCCGAATGGATATGTGACATCGGGCCACGAGGTCAGCAGGATCAATAGGGCCACAAAACCGAGGTCCCGAGTGGCCGTGGTAGCCTGCAAGGCTATGGGTTGGAATTGCCGCAGATGTCGCCCCACTGTGCACCAACGCCGATGGAGCTCCCGCAGTGCCCCCACTGCTGTACGGCGAAGATCTCGTAGATGGCCCGGTAACGAGTATGGCAGTCGGCGGCAAGGGCCAGATCCAAGTCCAGCACCGCTGGTAACTCTGTAGGTAGCAGATCTCGGCCTCGCTTCAAAGCTTGAGCGAAGTGTTCATCCGGGCTGAGGTCGTAGGATAGCAGTGGAGGGAGCGCTGCACGCTGGTTCAGTGCGCCCACCTGTTGGCCTTCGGCAGTGCGGAGAGTTTGGCGTACTTGGGCATCAGCCAAGTGAGGGCCCAGCGGCCCATCCGTCTCGTAATGCCTGCTATGCAACCAAACAGGGAATGCGTTGAACGGGGCGGCATTGATAATGTCCTCGACCATAGGGAACTGGAAGTTCGTGAAGAAGTGGGCTGGGTACAGCTTGCGAAAGGCTAAGATCAGGGCTTCCTGGCTCCACCAACGTGTAGGGCTCGTTGGGAGGCCTTGTACTGTGCGGATCACCCCCGCAGCGATGACCTGGCGTGCTGGTGGGGTCCCCCCCGACTGAAGCGATGCATTGTCTGACGACCGCTCGGTTGGCTCCTCTCGAAACAGAGACCAGCAAGCACATCTGCCTCACAAGGGTCGCAGAATGGACAGTCGCATACAAGCACTTTACCCTGAAGTTCGCGTAGGTCATTCACCAGGCCAGACTCATAGAGGTGTGCGACATAGTGCCATAACCAGTCCATTGGACTGACTGTTCAGACCTGGGATCACCGGGGAGGCCCACTTGGTCTTCGCAAGACGATGAGAACCCTGGCCTTGGCCCACATACACATGGTGTGGTGGCAACTTGCCTTTCTCGATGAGGATGTCATCCACTTGAGCCCGGCGGGGGATCCGGGCAGCTTCACTAGGATCTGGTGGGTACAAGCCCAGCCCGAGTGCGAGGGGTGCCATCGCCCACTCTCGTAGGGCTCGAGGATCCAGGTCCAACCAATGCTCGCGGGCTCCGACACACTCGAATTGTGGCAGGCGTGGAACATGCAGCTTATAGCGCGACCCGCGCGCCCGGCCCACCATGATGCTGCAACTGCAATAGCAAAGGCCAAGACGGCCGTATACTCGGCCTCTTCCTTGGATGGGTAGATCGTCTGGCCTTCCTGCAGATAGGGGGTCCACTCGTTTGGTGCATGAGAATGGTGGCAAGTCAACGGCGGCCACTGATCGATCTCCTCGATGTTGTGGCGTAAGCACTGTGCCTTGCAGCGAGCGCCTCCCAGGCAGCACGCATCATGGCGCTTGTCCTTCCAGCATCCAGCATCCATCATAGAACGCTCGGTGGATTCCCACCAATGTAGACTACGCCATGGGTTTTCTCGTACAGACCCTCCGCCCCGCTCGGCTAGCAGCCGAATCTCCTCGAGGATGAATTCACAGGCTTGGTTGTCCGTGCGGACTCGCTGAAGGTCACGACCCTGGAGGGTGGGCAAGCCATCGGGATGTTGCTCGGAGCGCAAGGGTGCTGGACACGGGCGGCCATCTTCAAACCGTCTCGGGATCTCCCTGCCTCTGCTCTTGGTGGAGCAGTCGAAGGCCGCGCAGATGAAGTCAACCTCGGAGAGCTGGTCATGGAGTGACTGCTGACGTAGTGGATTGGAAAGGTCATGGGACTTGTCCAACAGCCAGTCCACAGGGTGCGCCACCCGCACCAAAGGAAGCCCTTGAAAACAGGTCAGCAACCAAGGGACGGGGAGCATCAATGTCCCCTAAGGGGGAGTCCGTCCCGTCCTCCCCTCGGGGCCCCATCACTTCTTCCCGCCGCGACATGCGGCAGCGCCATGCCCAGGGGCTCCACAGGCGCGCTCCTTGCGCAAGACCAAACCACAGCGGTGCTGACCATTGGTGCAATTGGCTTTAGTCTTGCATTGGCCATGCTGGAAGGCCTGACAGAGGCGCGTACCGTCCTTGAGGATCTTGGCCACCTGGCGTCCGTTGATGGGGTTGCCCAAGGTCCATCGATTGGCTTCAGACTTCACTGGGGTAACCGGATCTGAAGTAGGTTTGCTCGAGGGAGTTCCACTTGTGGTGATTGGGACCGACCAGTGGGCATCACGCATGGCATAGACTTCTTGGATGACACGACCCAGGCTCTTCTGGCTATCCCTAAAGCGGGCAACCCACTCCGATCGTTCATCATTGTCTCGCTGCTGGAGCCGCTCGAGGCGCTGGTTGAAGGGGACCAGGGACACGCTCCTTTTGGCTCTGTAGAAATACTGTTGAATAACGTCCACCGGAACTTCGACATACTCTACAGAATTGGACCCCAACCCCTCGGCTATGCTAGGGGCAGTCGCACAGGAGGCGGGCCCGGCCATCGCGTAGGCCAGAAGTAAGGTCCAGAGCTTGTCCAGGTATAGGAGTTGGCATCCCGACTGGCAGGTTCATCTTCCTCAGCTTCCTCAACATACAAAGAATCGGCGATCTTTCTTTTCTTTTGGGTGGTGGCCTGCTGAAATTGGAGAGATTTCACTCGCCAAATGTTGTACACACACAACATGCGTTTGGTGAGTTCTCGTGTAACCCGAGAAATCGTGGCATCAGCAGGGTGAACCTCAGGGGGGAACCTCAGCTTGTAGCGGCGCCAAAAAGTGCTCTTCAAATCTCGGAATTCGGAGTCGCCCAACAGTGCATCTAGATCAGATGCCGAGATGCGAGACCGATCCTGTTCGGATTGTTTGAAGTAGAGCGACACGGCGGCCCACGCCCGACGAACCCTCGCCCCCTGAAGATTGGCGTCCTCGCCTAACGAGAGTTTGGACAACCACGGTTGCACCTTGTCCTCCTCCAGATTCCGGAGCCGGGCGTTGACCAAGGCATCGGTGACCGCTTCAGCTATGCTGAAGTTGACCCCTAGCTGGCGGAAAGTAGCCGCGGCATCCGCACCGTCACTCAGCACAAGTTGCAAGCTAGACGCCATGCGGGGACACAGGGACCCTCCCTAGGGAAAGTGAGGACCCACCTCACACGGTGGTACCACGAGGACCCACCTCGCCTCTGTTGGCCAAAAGGAGCTGGCGAGGCGGAGATCCTAGGTGCACGTGGACGAAAACATGCAAGCGGTTCAGTTCCGGAAACAGCAACAGGACAAGCAATCACAGCTCATGGCAAAGGCCTTGAACCCCAGGCCACACAGCAGTCCTGCTGATTCGGGGATGACCCCCCCAAACTGAAAAAGGGGGGCGACACGGCAAAAGACTCACTGACCCTCAGGGCTCTTTCCGCTGGTGGCGCGCTCTCCGGTCGCCTCGGTAGTCTACACATGACGTAGTCTACAAAAAGGGGCATCGACGGAGGCCGCCTGCTCTTATGGGGTGCAGCCTTCCCGCGACCGCTATAGGCCGGTCGGCTGCTCAGCAGCTCACAGTGCCGCGCTTGCCAGGAGGCTGGGGCTTTGCTCCACACACAGGACGGGCAAACGTACTCGCTTCCAAGAAGCTGCTGTAGAAGTGGGCGTCTTTGAGCCGCTGCTGAACTCGAGCTTCACCTTGCTTGAATGCGCACAGAGCGACGCGGCCTTCAGTGCACAGGTGGATGTTGGAACGTCTGGAAAGCCCCGCAAAGGCGACGCCCATTCTTCAAGAAAGCCGTCAGCACGCGGCCACGGATGGCCTCCGGCATGGACACCGTCGGGCGCAGAGTGCTTCCTCGAATTTTGTTAGCCGCCACGGCTGCGACTCGGGCCCGCGAGAACTGAAGATGGGTCTTCAGCGACTCCTTGGTTGGCTGGGCGGCATACCGCGTCTCCTTGTCCTTCGCTATGGACAGGGCGAGCTTCTCTTTGGCCACCTCACGGAAACCATCCAAGTCGGCAGGAAGCACCTCCTCCCAAAAGCTGTGACCCTCACAGCTGTGGGCCACTGAAGTTGCCAGGATCTTGTTGCGAAGCGACTGGCCATAACGGGCCGACGAGTAATGAAGTGCCATCCCAGCCTCAGCCGGCTCCTTTGACTTGTCTTGCCAATCGCCCAAGGAGCAAAGGTCAGAAGATGACATGTTCAGAATGTGGCCCACGGTTGGAAGCATGCGCCTCCATGAGTAAGTGGTCAACTGCTCAGGGTTGTCCAAGAACTCGGAGAAGATCGACTGGCAAAGGTGTTGCACCTCAGCAATGTTCCAAGGCGTCCCACGCCTGTCAAAGCAAATTCCCGAACTCTTCTGGGCCACAGGAGAAAGGGCCTTCCATTCCTTGAGCCAATCAACAGTCCAGTTGAAGCCGGAAGCAAACTCGGCAGGAGCACACTAGTCAAAGCCACCTCGGGCGTGGCGTTGCTTACCCTTGCGACAATGGCCATGGAATACCATCGGACTGGCGCGGCGAACAGTGGACCGGCGAAGGTGTTGGTACCTCAAGCAACCAGTAGCCACAAGCCAAGGCCCTAACAGGCATGTCCATCGCGGGTCCCCCCCACGGCACATGCTCTCAATGCGCTCCTCCAACAACTGCAGCATGCCGGGCTCCACAACAAGGGCTTGGCTCTTCGTCGAGGTGGCCTTCTTCTTCAGCTCAGGGGAGATGCGAAGCCGTCCGATGTCCCAAGGAACTCCAGAATGCTTGCACAACCAGCGAATCGCATTGAGCTCTCGGGTAGGGGCCATCGTCCCCTGATGCAGGAAGTTGTCCATGTCCACGAAGGCCGGAGGGAACGACCTCCCTCTGTGGAGCAAAAAGGCGTGGAGCTCCCCGTAGGTACGGAGGGCATTCTGAATCGTCACCGACTCAGACTCCGCCACCTTGGTCTGTGCCAGTCGAAGGACTGATGCCTGCCAATCACGCTTCAGGGCCTCGGTCAACAGCCCGTCCGGCTTCAAGGCGCCAACCGTCAGGAACACCTTCTGCAGGGCCAACACCTGGCGCTGAATGGATTCAGGCTGATCCTGGACTGAAGGCGTACCCCCGCCTCAAGTGGAGCTTCTTTCCTCTTACGAGCTAGCGGAGGACGTGTGTCCGGTACCAGAGGTCCCCCCTCGATCAGACGAGCCGCTGCAGGAAGAAGTTCCTCCTGTTGTGCCACACGGACTGCCAGCCAAGCATCTGCCAAGAAATGGCCTCCCACGGCCACAGCTTCCTCCCAGGTGGAGAAGGCGAAGGCGAAGTCCTCATCCTTCTCGTAGCCCCGCTCACGCCGCCAAGTGATGGCGCGAGCTCCTGCCACACGGGCGAGGCTGTCCTCCGCCCGCCAACCGGCGGAAGAGGCTGGCTCATCCGGGGGAGCCTCCACGGCTCCAGCAACTTGCGCACGGTACACCATGGCTTGCGCACCCGCAGAACTACCCACTATCGTCATCAGACGACGAAAGTTCGCGGCAAACCGGACAGATTTGGAGCACTGGGAAACAGGCGGTACACACTCCTTTGATACAACCAAGGCACTGCCGATAAGTGGGATCACCACAGCCGCAACACGCCGGAGGAAACTCCGTCTCTCCGTTGATTGAGGACCCCAACCATCCACGAAGGGCTCAATGGGCACGAATCTTCGGGTGAAGGGCGTCCAGATGGCAGCGGGGCACGAAAGGGGTTGGACCACAACCCATGTGGTGATCCCAAAATCCAGTGTCGCATGTAGTAGAGAACTTCAGATTGGAAGGTTTGCAGGGGCGAGAGGTCAAAATCCCCGGGAACCTTCTGCTGAAACTCCCACAGGTAGGAGGGCACAAAATCGTCTGCAGAATACGGGGTCCGGTAAGGCTGCAACAAGAGGAGGTCCATTGAGGCATCCAACCGCGCATGCCTATCCCAGGCCTGCTGAGGAGTAAACCCTGGCGGCACGATCGTCCCGCGCCGGTTCCAAATCCCGACCCACGGGAAGACATAGCCCCCTCGCCCCTGATCGCACCGGGGAGGCATACACTCTTGGGACAGACTGAAATCCGCATAGGGGGAAAACCAGCTGGCCCGTCCCCGGGCGTGAAGACGGAGGCATGTGTTCAAATAGAACCACCGAGCTCCAGAGCCGCAACGCGCCTGCCCGGTCCCCCCGGGCCAAAAGGGCATCGACCTGGCGACGGAACTCGATGAACGCGGCGGACGAAAGCACCTCAGCATCAGTGAACATGGTGGCATGCACACCGACGATATGCTGTGAAGCCATCCACAGCAGACACAGCAAAACTTAAGCAGAACAGAAATGTCCCACTTTTGGCTTGAGCCAAAATGGACAGTGTACCAAATGTAATGAATACTGTGCACCCAAACCTGCCCAAAGCTCGACACAGTTTTAACTAAAGTCCTGTAAGACGTGAATGACCAAAAAGGATTTGAGCTATGTATTAGTTCCTTTTCCAGGGGTTCGGGAGCTTTTCCCTTAATACCCACTCCGCTGTGGCCTTCTGCGCCGATGGCTGGCAGGCCACTTGGCGGCCCTGGCGTGCTCTTGGCACGCACGCCCGGCGTGTTCCAGGCGGAACGCCCGCCTTGCTGCGCAGCCCACTGGGGCTCTTGGGATGGCACCGCCTCATCAGCTTCCAGCATGGAAGTGTCCTCCAGGGGCAGTGATCTAGCACACGGTGTGTATCCAAGGTTGTGTACGAATTGCATGAACGATGTCAAGTAAAGATGCCTATTGCTGCGTCGTCCAACGAACATGCCCTGAAAAGACCTTCAAAAGGCACGTGGTCGGGTACACGAAGTAACCTCAAATCACCAGCTCCAATGCAAATCATATCACATCCATGACTATGCGACTATGCAAATTTAACTGCTTCACCCCGCACCCATCTCAAATGCTTCAAATTGTCACATCGAAAAAATGCAAAAACAAAAACACCCTGCTCCTTTGCCACCTCTGGGGTAAGCTGCACCGGTTTCTGACTTTCGGCAGCTTCTGGAAGTCCCAGGCCTTTGACCTGTCAGAAGGGTGCATGGATCAGAGCGAGGTATGAATATATAATTGTAGTAAAGTAGTACCATAGGTATCCATCGTTCAGTCTGGTGCCAAACTTGAATTACGTTGTTCTACATGTGTGTTTCAAGCGCCTAATGTCAAATTATACACATACATTTACAGTTAAGTTTCATTGCGTGGCGTCAGATCTGCCAGGAGCCCGTTAAACTGAACTTTTGCGGCCACAAGACGCAAACAACCTTCAACTAGCTCTCCAACCACGAAACTACAGCCTTAGCTTCCCCTCAGCAAGATAGACACGTCGGTCGTCTTAGAAAGTCGGAGCGGAAAAACAAAACGCAACCTCCATCGTAGGCCTACGACCGCAAGGCTGTTTCCCCCAAGACATACCGGTGTAGACAAACCGCTGGCGCCAAGTAGCCATGAAGTCCTTCACCTCCTGGCGATGCTTCTTCTTTGTCCACGGAGGGATTAAGATCTCAATGTCCTGGCAGACCCAGATCGAGGCGCCGTGCCAGATTAAGAGAACTCATACAAGTCGAAAGATGGAAACCCCCTTGTTCTTTCTGACATGCTATTTGGCCCACCCATCGTGTTTGGCAACACCCAGTGTTTGCTTCAGTGTTTGCGCAGCGCCCCAGGTCACGGGACGACGATCTCCTGCCAGGAGGCCATCTCAAGCTGCTTCAAGATTGCCTTTCCTCCACCCTCCTCCGAGTGCAACCACAGACCTGGCCGACCAAGATCTGCATCGGCGCATCGGCAAAAAAAGAACTGTGCTTCGGTGGTGCGGCCAAGAAGTAGTGGGCCAAAGAAATGGGTGTTAGAAAATTTCACCCGGTTGACCATCGCAAGACTCGCAACCGCCAATCACCAATCATCGAGATCATCGCGGCGCGGCGCGTTCGACCTACATGCGACAGGTAAACCTGCATCGCGCCGAGGTCACCACTGCGAGAATCAGGGTCGTTTCTGGAAAACAGGGTGAACTTCAAAGGTTGGTGGATGTTGAAGTCACTGTGTCTACAACCCACTCGTTCTGCGGATCCATCTGCTGTTCGAAGTGTGAACTGTGTGTGGAACAAAAATGTCCTGAGCATGGCAGCATGGCCCAATTCACCATGTCTCCCACAGCGACGTCCAATCAACTCCAAATAAGGCGAAAACAAAGTGCAGTTGACTGTAATGATGAGTCAACAATCGTCTGCAAGGCAGTACTCTGCAGGCTTGAACATCATGTCTGTGAGCCTTTGATTCGTTCTCATCTATTGCAGGAGAACCGATGTTCAACTGTTCAACTGCTAAAGAATTCTCTGCAAGACTTTGAGACTTTGAGCCACGGGCCACATTCCCGCCTTGCCTTTGATCCTCCCCGAAACCCCGATTCCACGATACCTCACCCCGTGGCCCCACCTCTCTTCAATTCATCCATCACCCGCTGCGTTGAGATCCGCTGCTCTTGCCACTCCTCAGCCAAGTACTTCAGCGCAGCCAGGTAGGTCTTGGAGTTTGCAGCTGCTTGCTGCAGCCGCACGAGGATCAGCTCGGGCGTGGGGACCAAGGCCACCTGGCTCGCTGAAGTGCATGGCGCTGGGACGCTTGTGGCGGTCCCGGCGACTCATGGAACCCCACGGGCGACTGTTGGGGCGAGTTCTGCTGGTTTGGTCGCTTCGGCCCCGACGTCCCGGACCGCCCAAGCTGTTCCGGCGCCGAGGTGCCCCCAGAAGACGCTCCGCTAAGTCTTGCGCCGCCTTGCCTCAGCTGACGAGGTTTCTCCAAAGCTTCGAAACTTGGAACCGAAGCCTTGTGGCAGGCCAAACGAGGCGGATAGAATTTCAAAAAAGCATAGAAACAACCAGACAGGGCGGTACCATGCGGCGCCCACTTGGTCCAAACCCAATGGTGGTCTTTCTTGAACCTGCTGGTCCGCCACCGTATCACTGTGAACGCCTAACCTGAACTAAGGGGCCAATGTCCACGACGTACTCACGCCCAAGCAGGTTTAGGAAGGCCGGCCCCAACAATCTCCTGAAAACAGCAGTCTACCGCCGTTTGCACAAATACACTGGATGGATATATCAGTTCCACTTCCATGAAGAAAAACACAACTATATTACTATATAGATATATAGATATACTGTAAATATACAGTACGTATATATATGGCACAAGTTCATGATTCACATCTTCCCAGAGAAGCAGCTCAAATTCCCTGCGTTTGTCGATGTGTTTCTCTGGAACTTCCAATCCCAGTCGTCGAACGCCACTGCCCTCAGTCGGGAAAACGAAAAAAGTCATTTTGCGCGTCGAAACTCCTCGTCGCGACGTTCATCTTTCCGTCCACGAAAAAAACGAAACCCGGCAGTGAACCCGGCAAAGTCCCCCCGGAATGGAACGGACTTGGTATTGCCCAATCAGAAACACCTACAGTAAACTTCATTTGGCGCATGCCAGCTACGCGCACCGACTTCGGCTTTAGGCGCGAACTCACAAATCTTTGAGCTTCAGAGGGTTGGTGTTCTTCCACCAGTCTTGAGGCGTTAACGGATCTTGGGAGATTCGGGTCGTATCTCTCCATCCCGATCTCCAATCTCCTGGTCTGATCCTCACTGGCACTCCGAGTATGCCCTGTGTGGTCTTCGATCTGACAGCAGGTGCGAAGCCACTCCAGCCCACCATTTCGCTCGTAAAAGTCCAACAAGGCTTTGAGGTCGCCGCAGACCTATTCTTACAGGAGAGAACTTTTCGGAGAGGAGGCCTGTAAAAAGAGGGAACCTGCGAGTTGGGGTCCTCAAGCTTCGGCTTTATCTCATGCCAGTTTCACATGACCAACGCTTGATCTGAACGTTTCACATGACCAAAACTCGAGGTGAACAAGTGAACCAAGCACAAATGACAAACCTGCATCCCTTGCAGAACATCATGCATGTTCTGTTGAAACAATATATAGGATCGCCTATATGATTCGGGCACCATGTCTCTCTGAGGAGCTCAGCCTCTGCCTTTGGAAAGTTGAAGAGCTTCTTCGGCAGGCAGACCGTGACCAGCTCCTCTGCACCACGCGCAGCAGTATGACGGCCAACGTGTCACATCTTTCAGTCTCCGAAAAGTGCAAGCTCGGCTCACGAGCGGAAAGGCGCGTGAGCTTCCCGGATTCTGGCATGGACGTCGCAAGTCCAGTCCAGCGACCTATCGACATGGCGCAATGGACATGAAGCCATAGCTGCCACGCAATCCGCCCACAAGAGCAAGCCCAGTTGGGCGTGACGATGATCGCAAACAGAGCGAATTCTGCCCGAAGAAGGCACTATCAAGGCACGATGCAACATCTCAAATGTCTAAGCCAACCGTCACCCATAACAGAAGCGTGCGAATTCTGCAGAGCATCACCACATGCGTCGTGACACGGCGTCGCGACCTGCTCTTTGTCGGGCCACCCAGCACTATGTCGCCAAGACCGGGCACCTCCAGGTCCAGACCTACAACAATCATCGGTCCTGTCCCCGCCGGACGAAACGGCGGTCAGTTCTGAGATTCAGATACCGCCAACGGTCCACAGACAGAGCACTAAGCACAGCGCTAAGCACTTCCTTCCGGCCGACCACAGCGCATCAAAACCAGGCAGCGCATGGATGGGGCGCGCGCGAGGAAGTGTGCATCTGTCTTTGGAGGATGGGATTGCCAGCTGTACCAGGAGGAGAAATCACAGAAAGAGACCTTTGTTGGGAAAGGACTGGAGGGGTGTTCCAAGGTTTGCTCTATTTCTGGATCTCGACTCATGACATCATGAGGACTCATCGTGACTCCCTATGACTCATCATGACAGAAAGTTGACATCCAATTCTTCAGTCAAGTGTGTGTGCGCGCCACTGCGTTTGGGCATCACGTTTGAAGACACAGCACTCCCCTCGAGTTTTTACCCCCCCTGGCACCTTGTCCAAACAAGATCTGAAGCTTTTCCCAGTACAAAAAGAACGGCTCAAAACACCCGGCGCTCCTTGGGGAGGGTCTTCACCCCTAGGCGCATGAAGACCAACTCCCACCACAGCCGTTGCTGCACCGAGGACGCGCCGCTAGGCGGTTCGCGCACCAGTCGGCCACGGGGAAAGGACTCACCCAGCTGTGGCTTGCAGCCTCCGCTCAATGCGGTTCCAAAGGGCTGGTCAAGAAGGCTTCCTATAAGACCCCAAATAAAATTCCATCTCTAAGACGAGTTTTGTCTTAGAAAAGATTTAAAAAGTAAGACAAAGTTGTCTAAGATGAATAAAAAAGGTTGTTGTAAGATGTTTCAAAAGAAAGAAAGTCAGACGAGAATTCTGAGAGTACCCAAACCATCGGAGACATAGAAGCCCACCATGGCATGGGGCAGTCTTGACCTGTCTTCCACTTCCGCTGAACATCCACTTGAACACTGAAGGCACAATTGACAGCAGTTGTGGGGCCTGTGCCTATGTTCTAATCGCTACAACCGCTCAAGTCCGAAAGTCACTGACCTAGCAGAGTGAGATACAGTGCTCTCGAATCTCTACAACCATCCAACATGGAGTCTTTCGCTGGAAAGGGACCTCTACAACCAGGACACCTATGTAGTCACCTGGATGGCGCATAGATTCGAGAAATGCGAGCAAGACTGATCCACTGACCACTTCAGCTTCGAAGTTTGGCTTGGCTATACATGGGTGTGACTATGGAAATAAGCGATTCTCCAGAGATGCTTTGTAGTGCAAGAGTAGGTGAAATGTCCTGCTCAGTGTGGTATCCTCATTTTGAGAGCTGTCTGGAGGCCTCAAGTGGTTAGGTGGATCTGGCGAGCTTTTGCATGCTTCTAGTGGCACGAAGCTAGCTGACTATGTAAACACGACCAGATTCGGCCGGGCGTCCTTCCCTCCCCACCTCCACCTTCGGCGCGCGGTGCGCGAACCGGACGGCGTCAGAACCCGCATTCGGACGCTTCGGACGGTCGCGGGCTTGGACCGCGCGGCCTATGACGTATGGGCAGCAGAGCTCGCGCGCATCGAGGAGCACGGAGCCGGTCGACTCCGGTACCAGGAGGCTTCCTCACTGGTGGAAGGGCGAGAATTGGTGGGAAGATCCACGATTTTGGAGATTTGCTTATAGACCCCATACCAATGACTTTTGGTCGAATAACGTTGACAACATTTACTCTTGTAGCGGCTCGGTCTCCCTATTTGAGCTACACCTCGAAATCGCTGTGGTGTGTCCATAAAATCAGGTCTCCTGGTGGGTCCATAGCGACCACCATGGCCCCTCGCAGGCGCTGCGGAGGCTCCGCGGCAGGTTCGATGAGGGGATGAGCAACGCGGGGATGGCGGAGGTCATCCGTCTCCATGTGTCTGATCTCGTATGTCGTGATCCCAAAACGTGAAGCCTTTTTTAAAAAGAAGAGAGTATATCTATTGCGGAGCTTTCGATCACATCATGGCCCTTTGAACTTGGCGCCACGATGGCTTGAAACTGACCTCATTGACCAGGCTCGTAGAAGCTCTTCCATCTGCTCAGGAGTCTGCTGCGAGAGCCAGGCATCAGCCGCAGTGCTGGTGAGGATGGCATCCCAGTGGCGTCCCAGGTAGGCCAAATTGGTCCAAGAGAAGCGCTCATCATCGGCCTCCGGAGAATTCGAACAAGAACCGCAGAAGCTGCCGGCGATGCAGAAGAGATAAAAACGAGTCTAACACTTCGGAAGCAACTGAAGGGGATCCAGCCTCTGTGGATTCCAGCCCGTGGACATACTCTATACAAATAGAGTAGATATTGAAAGTTAACTACATCGGTCCCGGATACTAAGTCTAGATCAGCAATTGAGGTACGCGTCGATCAGCATTGAGGAAGTGCATCGCTCGTACTTGCTTCTTCGAAAGCCCTCTACAAGTGAGTGACTGTGTGATATCAGTGAGCCTCAAACCAATAGTCAGATCTCCCAATATTTGGAATATAGGCCACCAAAGCCCCAATCCTTTGCGCACTCTGGCTTGGCCATTCAGAGCCCCATTCGGTGGCCGTCCAAATTCGTTGACGTGTTCCCAGTTTCTGGGCCTTGCAGTCCCCGAAGCAAAAGGGATCCGAGGTTCAAGTCTAGGGATTCACCAAAGACTCGTTTCTTTTGAAGAGTTCCACCGCCTAGAACTGCCGTCTCTGATGCCATCGCTGGGGTGGAGCGACCGCGGTGAGACGTCCGTTGCGGCCGAGGTGCCACTGTGAGGCCCAAGGCCTCTTGCACGATGGCATAGGCCACGTCCCTGAAAAAAGAAAACAGCAGGGCTGCCACCGAAGCAGCCCTGTAAAGATGTATGCTACTGCTGATTCAGGCGAACCGAGATGAATCCAGCATCTGGGTGGACCAATCAAAGACACCTCCACAATGGGCCCTTTTGTCATGACCCATCTCAAGGATCTCGCAACCCTGTCACCCATACGACCGAATCGGATCGCGGCCCCCTTGATTACCCAGAACCATTTTCCAAAAAAGCGCTAAACCCATCTAAACCCCCAATCCGATTCCCCACAGAGTTCGCTTCCCTCCCGCAGGCTCCGCGAGGGTCTCGCTTTGCAGGACCATTCGCCTGGGCGTTGCCTTCACCCCGCAGCCCATGAGCTTGAGGAGCTCCTGAAGCGTTGCACGGAGTCCAACCCGAAGCACGAAGGTGTTCCCGAATGGATCATTGAACAGAGGTTTAATGATCTCAAAAAAACACCCTACCAGGGTACCTATGGGATAGCCGAGTTCAGGTTCTTCAACCTCTGTTGGATGCTTCAAAGAACACGCACCGTCCTTGTCAGCGGGGCACGCATAGCTGGGATCCAAGACTTTCAGCAAGCCAGGCGGCGCCGTCTTCGGCACCGAGGAGAAGATGTGCCCATCCCCGCATGGGCCTTGAGACCGCCGCTTCGGAAAGCAGGTCAATCCCATTCGGTTCGGTTCCGGGGGTGTTGCCGCAAAGGTTTCCCGAAGCACACTGCTGGTGGTCGTTGAAGGCTTGAAAAATGGCACTCTCGATAGAGAGCTGCCTTTTCGGAGGTCAGTGCTGGCGGGAACACTCATTCTCCTTACTTCCAATATCTTCCAATGAACACGCACTCCCCACCGTCCAAAGTCCGAAGTCAAGACACGCCACGCTCTTCCCTTCGTCTTTGCCGCACCAGCCGCTTCACCCTCGACCTCCTCTCGCTCGGTGAGCACGAAGAGCGGCGCCCGTCGGAGCTCGCAGAGGTCCAGCTCGGCCGAGCGCTTCGCCAACGCACGCACCACCTCGGAGCGCGGGGAGCGGTGGAACGAAGAGGCGTAACAGGAGCTTACTGAGCTTTTTGGACACCGCCATTGTCCAGGTCTCAGGCGAGCTGATCCCAGATGTAGCCACACGAGAATTCGGGACCAAGCTGTAGCAAAAACAAAACAATTCACCGAGACTAAAGACTGACTGGCGCTTAGTGGGGAATGAGGGAATGAGCCCTCAATAGAGATTCCTTTGCATCTATTCCCTCATTCCTTACTGAACACAAATCAGAAGAAAGAAAAAACGAAAACACCACGTTTCTTCACCGGTTTTGGCCTGACCATGAGCACCATGAGTAGCGCCAATTCTTCCTGGCCACAGTCTTCCTCCAGGTCTCCCCTCGCTCCTCGAAGCACCTCTTTTGGAGTAGCTGCAGCAAGTCCTGCTTCTGGGCTTGATCTGGGCTGGATGCAAAAGGGAAAGGTATGAAACCCCCCAAATCAAGGTACTATAGTACTACTATAGACTATAGAATATGTGGTCCTTGAACCCTTTAAGAAGTCGGAAAGCCTTCCTTCGCCTTGTACGCCCAAAAATATCTCGAACGTCACTATCCTTGTCTCGAAAACCTGTGTAGAACGGCGCATCACCAAAGGTTGGAAGGGTGTCAATCAATATCACTCAAGCCCTGTGAGTACAGATGCACTCAAGAAAAACCACCCCAAGCGGCCAAAA